CTTGTTTACACAGGTACACCTGCTGAACTCCTCTTGTTTATGCAACTATCCAAGCTGCGGGCTCCCTGTCCTCCTGAGCACCTGGCCTCCACATGGGAGATGACCTGATTTGCCTTGTTTGTGCCTAGTGCTGCCACTGCTGCTTTTTATGCTTCTGTTTTGGAAGAGGTGTTATATTGTTGAACAAGTCACAAGGAGTTATCCGACTCACAAAAGGCGGAACTGCAAATATATATTGGGTTATTTTGCATTGTCAGTAAATAGAAGATCCTTACACAAAGCTGCTTTCTCATTCCAAAGGATGGGAGGAGAGAGAGAGATGTTCAGCTTTGCTTTGCAAAAACATAAGATTCGAAATTTTTAGTATAAGCTGTCTCACTTAAAAGTGTGATCTGGGCACTCTAGATGTATATCAAGTTCAGGACCTCTTCCCCTTTACTTCAGAGCAACCAATTGTAGCAATTGGGCCTCTGCATGGAAAATCCACCTCGTGTATTTGTTTTTAGGCATTTATTAATTATTTACAGAATTTATACTACGCCCTTTAGTCAGAAAGTGACTTCCAAAATTCTTGGAGTGACTTCCAAACATCAATTCTATGACAGTCCCTGCTCGCAATCCAAAATCACATGGCACACAAAGAAAAGGGAATGGGAGGGAAGAGGAAAAGGCAAGTTCAAGCACAAGTTCTTAAGGTTGCAGCTGATGTCAGTGGCAATTCTGGCTGTCCATCCCCAGAAATAGTCTTCTTCTCAGGCCAGATCCAGGAGCAGAGCTGGTGACAGTGTCCAGGCCAGTAGGATAAGGCAGCTCCTGCCACACAGTTCTTCTTTGCAAAGCTGCTTTCATAGTAATCACAATCCTTGTTGGAGAGTGCTTGATGGAGGTACCCTCTGCCCTCACCAATGTAAGTGGCAGTTCTGGATGTCTTGCCATTCCTCCCAGATCAGATTGAGGCTGGGAGAACCAGGCAGCTCCTGCCAAACAGTTCTTAAGACTTGATGGCACAGTAGTTATGTGATAAGAGAGGGGGTGTCCCTTCTTGAACCATGTGGACATGATCAAGATGGACTTCCTCTTTAGTTCTTAGTTCTCTAAGTTCAGCCAGAGAAGCTTAAGAAATATTGCTAACATCAGATTGATACTGTATATCACTAATTCAGGAAGTGAGACTTCCTGCGCTCTTCAGCCACGCACTGCCCTGTTCCGTGTTCCTTATCTGTTTATTTTTGGCCTTGGCTCCATATTTCTAACCACACCTTTCTGTTTTATTTTTTCCATCCTTTTATGAGGAGTTGGTGGGTTTAGGCACATCCTGGAAGAGAATGTATCACTGCAGTATTGGCCTTGTGCCTGGATCATAAGACTTCTTTCATTCTAGGTTAAAAGCTACCTTGGACAGATTTGGCACATGGCCTTATCATTTCTGAGCCACTTGGTGCTTTATCTTAAGGCAGCATCCTCCTTGCGTCACGCAAAATTAAGGTAAAGGCCATTTATTCTGCAGGAAGCTAATTCACAGGAAATGCTTTACCTTGAGCTTTGCTATCCAGATCTTCAAAGCAGCGAGAACAGAGTTGCAACAGTCTGCCCTTAAAATGCCTAATGAAATTGAGGCAGTTTCTTCCGCTTCTTCTGGGCCCCCATTCCTTTTGTACATTCTCCTTCTGCTTCACCTCAGGTGCTAAAATCAGCAGAGGTCTCCACCTTCATAAGCTCGGCGTGGTGGAGGTCCAGGAGAGGGCATTTTCCGTGGGAGCCCCAAAATTGTGGGCCTCCCTCCCCACCAAGGTGTCTCTGGCGCCTTCATTATACAGCTTCTGGCAAATGTTGTAAGATGTACATTTTTACCCTGGCTTTTGACACTTGAGATGTATTTTCTTAGGATCCATCCTATTTCTGTCATTGTAAGTTGTTTTAATATTGCATTTTAATGTTGTAACCTACACAAGAGCCTTAGGGTAAAAGACAGATGAGTGGGTGGAATGATTGGGTACCTTGTTCCTGGCACTGCTGTGGTGTCTAAAGGCATAATGTGAATCTCTTAAACTGTAATGTGGCAATCCTACTAGAACTTCCCTCATCCCCATTCTTTATTTCAGAAGTGTGAAAGCAATGAGACTTGGGTATCTTTAGAAATCTACTATTTAAAACATACTTGGAAATTCCTGCAACTTATGCAGCAAGACTGTTCACAGTATACAAACTGACAGAAGCCTTCTGAATCTGTGGCATTAATTCCAGTGAGTGACTCTTGCAGGCAAGGGAGTGGTATTACAGGCATGTGGTATTTCTCATTATCCCACTGTTAATTTCCTCCCTCAACATTCTTGGAATTCAAGCTTGATGTGGAAGACAGGGAGCCAAGTGAAGGAAACTACTGACATCAGAGGCCAGTGCAGCTCTAGATCTCTTTAGTGCATGTCTGCAATGTACTAAAGTCAGCAGCATAAACCAGGCAAAGTCAGTAACATAAACTCAGCCCTCCAGATGTTTTGGAACTACAACTCCCACCATCCCTGACCACTGGTCCTGTTAGCCAGGGATGATGGGAATTGTAGTCCCAAAACATCTGGAGGGCCAAGTTTGCCTATGCCTGACGTAAACACCCACCCACCTCCATCATAACACGAGTGTGCTGTGAACGCATAAAAACCAGTGCGTGCAGGAAATACAATGTTGTTGTTGTTGTTTAGTCATTTAGTCGTGTCCGACTCTTCGTGACCCCATGGACCAGAGCACGCCAGGCACTCCTGTCTTCCACTGCCTCCCGCAGTTTGGTCAAACTCATGCTGGTAGCTTTGAGAACACTGTCCAACCATCTCATTCTCTGTCGCCCCCTTCTCCTTGTGCCCTCCATCTTTCCCAACATCAGGGTCTTTCCCAGGGAGTCTTCTCTTCTCATGAGGTGGCCAAAGTATTGAAGCCTCAGCTTCAGGATCTGTCCTTCCAGTGAGCACTCAGGGCTGATTTCTTCAAGAATGGATAGGTTTGATCTTCTTGCAGTCCATGGGACTCTCAAGAGTCTCCTCCAGCACCATAATTCAAAAGCATCAATTCTTTGGTGATCAGCCTTCTTTTTTTTTTTTTTTTATATATATAGCTTTATTAGAAAAAAGATTCACATTACATATCAAACTCCAAGAGCACATATGCATGTCATTAAAAGGTATACAAGAAGGAAAAGAAAATAAGCAAATTACGAGATTGCGAATCCGCAAAGAAGAAAGAAAGAAAAAAGAAGGAAAACAAGAAAGAAAGAAAAGAAAAAGCAAAAGAAAGGAAAAACACGAAAGAACAAAACAGAAGACAGACTTCCGTTCAACTTGATCCAGGGTTACACAATCATAAAAGAATATTTGCAGTATAACCTACAATAACACTTAACATCGGAGGTATCAATCATCTTCTGCTGTGATGTTACTAATACCCACATTGTTCTCAACATAAATTAAAAATTTCTTCCATTCATCTTTAAGTTTCGTAGAGTTATTTTGCCTTAATTTCTGTGTTAATCTCGCTAATTCTATGTATTGATATAATTTCACTTGCCACTCTCCAACCGTAGGCATATCAGGGGATTTCCAGTTTTGTGCAATTAGAATTCTCGCCGCAGTAGTCGCATATTGGAAAAAGATTTGATCTGGTTTTTTTATTTCCTCGCCAATCATACCTAAAAGAAACAACTCAGGTATCTTGGGGAAATTATATTTTAAAATTTTTTTCAGTTCATCATAGATCTTTCCCCAGAATTCCTTCACTGCCTCACAGGTCCACCAAATGTGGAAAAAAGTCCCAACCTTCTCTTTGCATCTCCAACAGCTATTATCAACAGTTTTATACATCTTGCCTAACTTTACTGGGGTCAGATACCAGCGGTATATCATTTTCTCTAAGTTTTCTCGGAGGGTTGCGCACGCTGTAAATTTTATCCCCTTCCTCCAGAGTGTCTGCCATTTATTATAATCAATATTATATCCAAGATCCCTGTCCCACTTCACCATCACGCCCTTCACCATATCCTCCCTAGTATCCCACTCTAATAGTTGTTTATATAATTTAGAGAGGTGTTTATCATTACTCTCTAGGATTTCTATCTGGAATCTTGATTTTTTATCACTCATCCCCTGTTTCTTGTGCTCACTCCACAGTGCATTAATCTGGTGGTAGTGGAACCATTCTTTTATCTTTTCTTTCAACTCATAAGGTTTCACCTTCCAACCTTCTTCTGTCTTAGTTAAGAGGTCCTCATAGGTCCATCTTTCTCCCATCATATTCGGTTTTTTTATTTTAACAATATCCACTGGGGAGAGCCACCAAGGGGTCCTTTCTTCAATCAGTTTTTTATATCTGTTCCACACCTCCAATAGTGAACCTCTGATTATGTGATTAGAGAACCCTCTATGAATCTCACCTTTCCCCTGCCACAGATAGGCGTGCCACCCGAACCTAATATCAAAACCCCTCCAAGTCCAATAGATCAGTGTTCCTAAGGGTGGCCCATTCCTTTAACCAGCTTAAACAAGCTGCCTCATAATATAACCTAATATTCGGTACTGCAAATCCGCCCCTCTCTCTTGCATCTGTCAAGTATTTAAGCCTTATCCTAGCTCTCTTCCCCTGCCAAATGAACTTAGTCATAATTCTTTGCCAGTTCCTAAAACGGGTGGTGCCTTTAATTATCGGAATATTTTGGAACAGAAATAATAATCTTGGGAGGATGCACATTTTAATCGCCGCAATCCTCCCCGTCCATGAGAGCTTCAGCCTCTGCCAGATGTCCAGATCTTTTTTTATTTCCTGCCAAATCTTATCATAATTATCTTCTACCAAATTTATATTTTTTGGAGACAGCCAAATTCCCAAATATTTTACCTTATTCACAATTTTTATACCGGTTCTTTGTTCCAATTGAGTTTTGTCCTCCGTGGTCAAATTCTTTGTTAAGATTTTTGTCCTCTTCCTATTTAGTCTGAACCCTGGCCGTCTGAAGTTCTTTTTGCTGGCGATGTCAGAGTCAGAATTTGGATTCATTTGAAGAGGAAACATTTGCCTCTGCACTTGAGCTAAAGCCTCTGAGCTGCGTCCTCAGAACAGCTGATGCTTTTCCATCATGCCTATTTGCTAGAACCATTAAGCATAAAACATGATCCAGTTTAGACACTGGGACTTTGAAAGAAGCAGACATTACCGTGGTAGGAATTCTGTCACTTCTTTCACGATACCTTTGAGAACGGCGTCTTCCACTTCTTCGCAAATGCAGCCGGCTACCTTTCTGTGTTGTTTGGCGAGCTAGACCAAAGGGGACAAGGGATGTAACCAAAAGCAGAGAGGCAATGGCTTTGTTTGATGAGTACAATGGGCACCTCAATGGTTTTTCCAGGTGTGACAGACACAGAACATGCCAGAGCTTGCATTTTGCAAAGAGGAAGCAAGAATGACCCGGGTGAGGCAAGGGAAATCTATTTGCCAGAATTTTAACCGACTGGGGTAGTAAAACACCTCATCGTTTTTTCATAGGCAAATGGTCAAGGAAAGGTTTAAAAAAGTATGTGGGGTGTAGCTTTTGAGAAGTGCAATTTTTGAAGGATCTCGTTTTATTTCAGAAAGTGTGAATTAAGCAGGGTTGCCTTTAAATGCAAACGGAAACCCCATCCCTACCAGCAGGCCTGTGTTATTGCGATTCCTGAGGGATGGCCATGCCTTAACTAACATCAGGGTTCCTCATCCTCGGCCCTCCAGATGTTTTTGGCCTACAACTCCCATGATCCCTAGCTAGCAGGACCAGTGGTCAGGGATGATGGGAACTGTAGTCTCAAAACGTCCGGAGGGCCGAGGTTGAGGAAGCAAACAGGACACAAAGGCAATTGCTGCACCCCCTTACAAAATTCCCAACACTTCTGCTAATCCATATACTTTTTGATTATTGAAAACATATAATGCTCCCATGAAACGTTCGTAATGACAGCAGAACAAAAAGCACTCCCTCCAAAACACCTCACCTTAAAGTTTATTTTCTCTCAATATGGGTTTATTATTTCTTTTGCATTTTATTTAACTGAAATGACTCAACCCGTTGCAAATTGCAAAAATATGAGTTCCTCCTGGCTTCATTGATGTCCCAATCCCCAAATCTAGCAGGGGCTTTTCTTTCTCTCTCTTTAAATGTGGGAGGTTGTCATTCTGCTGTGGTCACACACCTCACCCCCAATTTCTCCCTCCTCCTTTCTCTTTTTTCAAGGCTGCCGCAGGCCTAGTAGCAAGCGGTTTCTCCCCACCAAATGTCTTTTTGTAACAACCCTGTTCTCTGCACTCCCTCCTTCCTTCTAAAAAGGCTCTAAAAATCAGTTGCCTATTATGTCTGTGACACAATTGACAGCAGGTTTAATTTGTAGCTAGGAAGCGAGGGGTGGCAGTGTTAAAAATTGTAATAAAACTACATTTTGCTAATACATTCTCCGAGGACGTGACTAACATAAATTAGCACAGTAGGCGACACCTACATACCAGAAGGTAATATTTCAATTTCCCTGGAATCAAAGAACATGCATGTGCTATGAACAGTCTCAGCAAATACCGTTTGAATATCGTAGGACAGCGACGAATCGTATGGGTTTTTCCGCTCATCTGGCTCTCCTTTCCACTTTTCCTTGGTCTCCAGCATCAAAATATTCTCCAAGCAGTTCTTGGTTTCCTGCTAAATATTTAGATAAAGGGGAACAACACAGATCAACATAATCATATATGCAGACACTTCTTTTATGCACATGCATCCAGTTCCCTGTAGGTCTCCAGCAAAATTGTTTTCAAAATGGGTCCAAAAAGATGCTTTGGAAGCCAGTCAAGTTCTGCTGCTTGAGAAGGCCTCTCCTCCTCCTGGAGGGGAGGTGTTGTGAGCGGGAGACGATTCCCGCGTCATGCAGGGGGCGTTCTGCCCCCTGCCCCGTCCTCATGGCTGGCGCGCCACGCCCCCCGATTGGGCACCCAATTGGGAAGCGCAGAGGGGGCCTGGTTTGCCGCTCAAATGCGGCTGCGCCAGCCATTTCACACCATTGCGCTCACATCTTGCTACGAGTCACCCACCCACCACTCCCTTTAAAAATGTAAAGGTACCCCTGCCCGTACGGGCCAGTCTTGACAGACTCTAGGGTTGGGCGCCCATCTCACTCAAGAGGCCGGGGGCCAGCGCTGTCCGGAGACACTTCCGGGTCACGTGGCCAGCGTGACATCGCTGCTCTGGCGAGCCAGAGCCGCACACGGAAACGCCGTTTACCTTCCCGCTAGTAAGCGGTCCCTATTTATCTACTTGCTCTCGGAGGTGCTTTCGAACTGCTAGGTTGGCAGGCGCTGGGACCGAGCAACGGGAGCGCACCCCGCCGCGGGGATTCGAACTGCCGACCTTTCGATCAGCAAGCCCTAGGCGTTGAGGCTTTTACCCACAGCGCCACCCGTGTCCCACCACTCCCTTTAGAGCTTAGCTTTTCCCTTGACCTTGCTATGGACCCATGGTTGGTCGCCCTGGTTGCCTGGTAGGAGGTTTTTTTTTTCCAATTGGCGATTTAATTGGCACCTGCCTCTTGGTTTTTTTGCCTACCTCGTAGCAATCATCACAACTTTTGTGGTATTTGACGGTTAGGCATTGGAATGTGATGTTGGTGTGTGGAAGGGCAAGGTGTGGCCATCGCCTACCCCTTCAATTTTGGGTATTCCATTAAAGGAATCCGGCAGTCGTGGATCCTGTCCGATGCCTGTGTGGCGGGGGGCCATGGCACGACCCTCGGTGACATCAGGGGAGAGCTTATAGTTCTATTAGCATCAACAGGCTCCCCCGACTGGTGGTTAACCCCCTCTTCAGACTCACCCCTCTCCCAGTGGGTGGAGTCTTTTGTCCGTGGTCCAGTGCCTAAGCCAATACCTTCTCACATGCTGTAATCAATAAAGTTGTGGCCTTTTCTTGCCCATTAACCTAATATACCGTGTCCACGTGTCTTTATTTCCCAAGCGGGGATCGGGTCCTCGAATCACAAAAATCAGCAAGGGCAGAGAAACTGCCTTGCAAAACAGGTTGGCCCACCGCTAAGTGTGGGTGGGTGGGTGAGAATTCAATTCGGTCCGCATTTAAAGACAAACCATTCAAATCTTCCCTTTTGGAAACGATATGTTGAACCACAAAACACAGCCATCCTTCAGAATTTGCCGAATTTAGCAATGCAATTCTCCAGGCAAGTAATGTGTATAAAATGCATATTATTAGGGTAAAGGGAAAATCATGCACAAAGGTTGCATTATATTAGGAGAAATTGCTTCCAAGAATGTGTACATTAGTCAAAACTGCACACTGAATGAACCCGTCATGGGGCTTTGATGAAAAGAGCTCACACTCACATCTCAGTGCTCCTTGCATCCCTATTTTCATCGGAGAAATGTTGGAGATTATGTCCTACTGTGTTATTTCAGAAAGTAAGCACTGGATAGGTTTGCCTTTAAATGATAATTGAATTGAATTTCCCCCATCCCTATATGTAAACCAGGAAGTAGACAAGGAATCTCCATTCAACAAATAATGCGTTGCTCCTGTGGAAGTTTAAGGGGCCTTTGGATCCCATTCATAAATGCATTTTCTAATTTTAAAAGCCATAGATTTGTAAAACGTGTATGTTAGTGACAATAACACACCAAAATGAATTAGATTAGGTGATCACTTCATTCCGAAGGAAGTTGGGGCATTGAATGCTACAGTCTGGAATACAGTGGTACCTCGGGTTACATACGCTTCAGGTTACATATGCTTCAGGTTACAGACTTCGCTAACCCAGAAATAGTGCTTCAGGTTAAGAACTTTGCTTCAGGATGAGAACAGAAATCGTGCTCCGGCGGCGTGGCAGCAGCAGGAGGCCCCATTAACTAAAAGTGGTGCTTCAGGTTAAGAACAGTTTCAGGTTAAGTACGGACCTCCGGAATGAATTAAGTACTTAACCTGAGGTACTACTGTAAAAAGCAGCACGTGTTCAATTTCAAAGGATTCAGTCAGCGATGCAAACTTCCCCACCCTCTCCTTTGATTTATACAAGGAAATTGAGATGTTACCTGGACAGAGTTAACGTAGTTGCTCTTCAGTTTGTTTAAATCTTCTGAAGTTAACAAATCCGGCAGAGCTTCAGTTTTTATTTCTGGTTTAAGGTCTGGGCATCCTAAGAGATTTTCACTACAAAAACAAAAACAGCATTCCATGATGTTTCTACATCTGGGACCTTCGTCCAGAAGCCTGTGGACAGAATCTGGCTTACAGAAAATACCTAACTGGTCTTGGCAAAGTCTTTCCCTCCCATCACCTTAAAGGAAAGGAGAGCAGCAGCTGGGTTGTCACCTAATCTAATTCATTTTGGTGTGTTATTGTCACTAACATACACGTTTTACAAATCTATGGCTTTTAAAATGTTTTTTGTGGGAGAAGGGTTATTGGCTTGTTTTTGTTTTATTATTCTGTATTCTCATTTTGTATTTTTCTGTTGTGAACTATCCTGGGATCTTTGGATGAAGGGCAGTATATAATAATAATAATAATAATAATAATAATAATAATAATAATAATTTTACATGCTTTTTGTGTGCACTTTTTTGTAGCATAGTGTTTTGTATTTTTTTTAAAAAAATTTAAGGACAGCTTTACAAAATGTAGAGACGCACAAAGCAGATTACCAGCATCAGACCTAGAGCCAGGAACCAGGTTCATTTCATTAGCCAGTGACTCTGTAGCCTCCAATGATGTCCTGGTAATTACTGGATTCCAGGGTAACAAAAATATGAAGGGGAGGCTGGAGGAATCCACACAAGCACATGGGAGGGGTCAGCGGTACAATCCTGCTGCATCTTGATCACATGGAAATCACATGGACATGAGTGGCGCTGTGGTCTAAACCACTGAGCTTATTGGGCTTGCTGATTGGAAGCTCAGCGGTTCGAATCCCCGCGACGGGGTGAGCTCCCGTTGCTCAGTCCCAGCTCCTGCCAACCTAGCAGTTCAAAAGCACACCAGTGCAAGTAGATAAATAGGTACCGCTGTGGCAGGATCCTCCTACGACTCCCAAACTGACAAGGTAAGTGTCCTCCACGCGCAAGTAAGCAAAGCGGAAAGTTCCCACGGAGCCGTTGGAGTCTCCCAACCTTCTTTCTGCTGGCACCCCAGCAAAAGTGATTTCAGCTCTAGTGGAGACCGTGGTCTCCTTAGTGATTTAGCTCCGTCGGGGTGAAGCCAAGCACGAGGCAGAAGGTGAGGCTCGCAACGGCTCCCAAACAGCAACGAAAACCTCACAGCTGGCAAGGGGAAAAGAGGGCGGTCCCCGGGCTTGCCTGGGCTTAAATAGGCTATGCCCCACCTCCGCGACCCGCTGATTGGCGGGCTGGGTCGGAGGCACGCCCGGGGATTCCCTGTTCACGCGGGGGCAAAGGCCAGCCCCCGCGTGTGTGTGGGAGGGTTTAGCCCGCAACCCCCTCTCCTCCCAGGTTGGAAATGGCTAAAGCACACCAGTGCAAGTAGATAAATAGGTACCGCTGTGGCAGGAAGGTAAACAGCATTTCCGTGCACTTTGGTTTCTGTCACAGTGTCTCGTAGGGCCAGAAGTTATATAGTCATGCTGGCCACATGACCCAGAAAGCTGTCTGTGGACAAACATTGGCTCCCTCGGTCTGAAAGCGAGATGAGCTCCACAACCCCATAGTCGCCTTTGACTGGACTTAACTGTCCAGGGGTCCTTTACCTTTACCTTTTTTACTGAACACTGCAGCACCGATAGCTTGTGACATGGACCAAACAATATCTGAGACTTAACCATCCAGGGCTCCTTTACCTTTTCCTAACCATCATGTGATTAATGGGAAACCTACCTGTGGTATACATTAGTGACCCAGTTGAGTACTGCATAGAATTGATTGCATCCCAGGCTCTCATCTTCTTCCAGGATGCTTTGTAAGTGCAAAGAGAGGGCTTTGTGGAAAGCCTTCAGGTATGCATCGCCCACACTGTATTCTGGTGGATAGCATTTGTGTACCCAGTGTTTGATTGTCAACAAATCTGTTCTTACGACTTCTTTGAGATATCCTAAGTGTATCGACAGCCAAGAGGTGTTGTCCTCCTTCAGTGGCACAGGCACTTTTGAGACCCTGGTTTCCACACTTCGCTTGACAGCGTCTTCCCAAAGCTGCCTCCAGTTCCTGGCTAACCCAAGGTTGGACACAGCCTCGGATGAGGCAGCGATGCTTGTAGCCCCAGCATGGGCTTTTTCTTCCTCTGCGATCAGAGTCACAAGAGTGTTTAAAGCCTTTGCATCTACCCTGGGAAGCTCCAGGGTTTCCTCCACGATGCGCTGGATGGCCTTAGAAACCAAGTCGTAGAGCAAGTCGATGTCCTTGGCCTTCACAATGCATCCCTTGGGGTTGTCTTCATATTTCTTGGCATCTATTTCAGCCAGAAGCTCCCTTTCTAAACCCTTGATGTTTTTGAAGGCTTCTAGAAGTTGCCCATTTTTAATAAGTTCATTTATCTGCATAACTAAAGAGAGAAATGGAGTGTGAGAGCAAGCCACATCTACTGCATGTTTTCCTCTTCAGAAATAATTTGGAATAGTTCCTCTGGAGCAGTGGTGAGGAACCTGTGACCTCTTACTTGTTGCTGGACTCCAGCCCCCCAAATACCTGACCATTAGCCAAGCTGGCTTGTGCTGATGGGAGCTGGAGTCAATAAACATCTGGAGGGCCAGAGGTGTCCCACTCATGCTCTGTTGCATAAAACGAAACCTAAACAAGATGCTTTGTCTATTGTCTCACCACAGGAGGTGGATCTTTCATACAGAACAAGAATAAAAGGAGTTATAGAACTATTTCTGTGTTCTCAAGAGAAGAAGAAGAAGAAGAAGAAGAAGAAGAAGAAGAAGAAGAAGAAGAAGAAGAAGAAGAAGAAGAAGAGGAAGAAGAGCAGTAGTAGTAGTAGTAGTAGTTTGGACGATATCCCGACTTTGACTCCCCTTGAGGAGTCTCAAAGCGGCTAACAATCTCCTTTTCCCTTCCTCCCTCACAACAAACACTCTGTGAGGTGAGCGAGGCTGAGACACTTCAGAGAAGTGTGACTAGCCCAAGCTCACCCAGCAGCTGCATGTGGAGGAGCGGGGAAGCGAACCCGGTTCACCAGATTACGAGTCCACCGCTCTTAACCACTACACCAGGCTGGCTCCTTGTAATCCAGAGGTTTTCAACCTTTTCGACTCCACAGCTCCTTTGACCAACTGCATTCTTTCTGCGGCGCACTTGTGGGGCTCAGGAGCCATGTTATGTCACCCCTTGCCTGCAAAGCTGGCAGCCTCTTGCCCTTTTTCGGGCACCCTCCCTTCTAGAATCTTCCCTCAGCCTCCTCTCCTCTCCTCAGGAGTCCTCTGGGCAGCAGCTGCTGCAACCCCTGGTCTCTGAGCTGCCCCCTCATCTCAAAGAGAGGTGCCTCCTCACACTGCCCCACAGGGGCCTGGGACTTACTTGTCTGTTCATTCCCAGCAGGAAGGGCTGGTGGAGTGGCTGGCTGGGCTCCTTGCCCACTTGCTTGCTTACTTCAAGGCTGCCTCAGCTCCTGGCAACCATCAGCCCCGAGGCACCATTCGCCTGCGGAGCTTGTAGCCAGGGCTGCTGCAATAAGCAGCTGTACAAGCCTTTGGGAGGGCATCAGAGGAGGGAGGGAAGGAAAGAGGGACAGAGGCCAGTGTTGCCTGCGACATCCCTGACTACCATTCCAGGCATCCCAGGGTGCCATGGCACACTGGTTGAAAACTACTGCTTTAATCCTTTACAGCAGCTGTGGGGAACTTGTGGACCTTCAGTGATTCCAGGACTACAGTTCTAATCTTCCCTGGCCATTGACCATGTCCAAGAACTTCTGAAGGGCTTGCAGGTTCTCCTTCCCCAAATACAGGTGGCAAATTTTCTACTGGAATGAAAAGTTTGTATTTCCTTCCTTCTATTCTGACATTGTTTTTACCCCCAAAACAATTCTGCTATTAATAATAAGTTTTATTGGAGGGAGATGTCCAAGCCTAACCAGTTCATAAGTGCAAGTGAAGAGACTTGCTGGATCACATTGAAGGTCCATCTATTCCAGACATGAGGAAACCTGTGGACCTCCAGATGTTGTTTTTCAGATACCATTGTTGATGGCATCAGAAGCAGCTGAGAGGTTGAGGAGAACCAAAAGCAGCTTCTGTGGCAAAACTGAGCCTAAACCCTGATTGAAATGGATCTAGAAAATCAGTTTCCCCCAACAGTGCCTGGATCTGATTAAAGACCACCCGCTCAAGAAACCTTCCCCCAAAGGGGAGAAATAATGATAATAATAATAATAATAATAATAATAATAATAATAATAATAATAATTTATTTATACCCCACCCATCTGGCTGAGTTTCTCCAGCCACTCTGGGCAGCTTCCAATCGAGTGTTAAAAACAATACAGCATTAAATATTTGAAAACGTCCCTAAACAGGGCTGCCTTCAGATGTCTTTTAAAGATAAGATAGCTGCTTAATTCCTTCACATCTTCCACAGGGCAGGTGCCACTACCAAGAAGGCCCTCTGCCTGGTTCCCTGTAACTTAGCTTCTCGCAGCGAGGGAACCGCCAGAAGGCCCTCGGCGCTAGACCTCAGTGTCCGGGCAGAACGATGGGGGTGGAGACGCTCCTTCAGGTATACAGGACTGAGGCCGTTTAGGGCTTTAAAGGTCAGCGCCAACACTTTCAATTGTGCTCGGAAATGTACTGGGAGCCAATGCAGATCTCTCAGGACTGGTGTTATGATATTGGCTGGTAATTACTTAGATTTTCCAAATCCAGAGAGGTTTCATGAGGAGTGGTCTTACCACTGCCTCATTCAGGTAGGCAGGGACCAACCCACCTCACAAGGAATCCTTAATCACTTCCCTGGCCCAGCCAGCTGTCCCCTCCTTGCTAGTTTTTATCAGCTAAGAGTGCCAGTGGTTGCCCTAACCAGTCCAAGCACCTTCTCCACATCCCTGAGCCTTGCTAACTGAAACTCATCCAACACAACAGGACTAGGGCAGATCTACACTCATGGTTTATAACATTAAGGGAGCTTTAGGAATGGTTTTCATAACATACTGTATAAGGGCAAATTATGTTTTCCCAATAACATTAAGAATGCAGTAAACAGCTGCTGGCAATTGGGAAACCATGTGTTAAAGGTAAGGGAATGCCTGTGACATTTTAAAATGATAATAATGTTTAAAAGATCAATGTAGACCCAGCCATGGACAGTGCTCTGCATACCTCATGATATTTATCTGCTGTAACAGTGGAGTCAAGATCACAGTGGATGCAAGCGGTTTTGTCCTCAAAATGATTTGCGAGGAAGTCACTGTCATGGAATTCTATTCAATATTGATCCAAAGCAGAACTCTAATGCATAGTTAGCAGAGTAAAAACTTAAATACGTTGCAGGATTCCCAAAAAAATAGACCAGAGGCAATTAATATTTCATCCAGCAGAGCTTTACTGCTACTGAAGGCAAATGAACATAATGGTCACAAATCCAGTATATTCAGGATTGACACTGCCCATAAGAGGTCCAGTTGCAGCAGACTTAACTTAAACTTACAATAACTTATAATAAGTCTAAACCTCAACACTACATACAGTGGTACCTTGGGTTAGAGACACTTCAGGTTACGTGTTTTCGGGTTGCGCACTGCACCAAACCCGGAAGTACCGGAACGGGTTACTTCTAGGTTTTGGCACTCACGCATGCGCAGAAACACTAAATTTGCCAGCTTTTATCTGCCCCGAGGCATAGGGCAGCCCTGATCCTCAGGTGACTCGCCTCTCCTGGCCTGGAGGCGAGCACTCCTCCTGTGGGAACTTAATTCCCTCCGCCTCTCTGCCCTGAGCCTCTGCAGCTCAGGAGAGGCTGGAGGGTTACTGGACCCAGAGGCAACCCCAGCTTCCCCTGATGGGGCTGAGAGTGGAGCACCTGCAGGCAATGGGTCCTCCATCATCTCAGGGGCCAGAGGAGACTCAGCTGGTGCCTGCACCTGAGGATCCAGCCAGTGGCGTAGCGTGGGGGGTGCAGGGGGGGCCGGCCGCACTGGACGCAACATCTGGGGTTAGGGCAAATCCACAGGTTAGGGGGCGCAAATCCACGGGTTAGGGGGCGCAAATCCACGGGTTAGGGGGCGCAAATTACTTGCCTTGCCCCGGGTGCTGACAACCCACGCTACGCCACTGGATCCAGCACAGGTGAGGACCCTTCAGGCTCATGCCCCAGCCCCGGCTCAGCTAGTTCTGAAGGCGGGGGGTCCTGTGCAGGCTGGGATTCCTCAGGTTCAGCATCTGAATCCGAATCCCAGGCCATCACAAACCCAAACATCATGAACCTTCTGCTTGTTTCTTTCACACAGAGAAGCTTCCAGAACCCTCTTGAATTAAGAAGAATAGGAAAGATCTCTACACATCAGATCAATACTTTCTGCACTAAAAATGCAAACTGACAGTCACAGCAAGACGGGAAAGCTCACAATGAGGATGCAAGGGAGGCGACTGTACTATTTAGTCCCCTGCCAGAGTCATTATCAGAGTTCAAGAACACATTCCAGAGAGACAGAAACTCTTATGGGGAGTGAGAAGGAGGCCTGGAGCAGGTATGTGGCCTGAGGAGAGTCCAATGGGCAGATGGAGCAGGCCAGAGGGCTGGATTTGTCCCCCAGGCCTGGGGTTGTTCACCCCTGTACTGAAAGCTTTTGTGTTCAGAAAAAGATGGCTAAGAAAGGACAAGACGGAGATTGATAAAACTCTGCAGGGTAATGAGAGACTGCTCCCATCATGGCCCAGTTAAATTCCTGCTCTGCACTTTGCGGTTGTGTAGTTCACATGCACAGAAATGATTTGCGTCGTGCCTCTGTGTGTGATGTGAGCGAAGGCAGCTGGCTAGTAACGACTTGTACCAAAATACCGCTGACAGAGAGTTTGGGCTCTGGCAGGCGCTGAAGATTAGATTTCGAAAAAGTGGCTGACCCCAATTAATTTACCAATTTTCCTTTCAAGGCAAAGTTGAAACAAGCACAGAGCACATTCCGGCAGATAAAAAGAGACTCACGCAAAACTGAAAGCAAGCAAAAGCAGCGTCCAAGAGGCACTTATAAGCAAGAAAACAAATCTCCTAATTGTCGTTCCCACAAATTATAATAGCTGAGGGACACCTGGGTTCAGTTCCCTGCTCATCCAGAAAGCTGACTGTGACCTCTCAGAGCAGTATCTTTCAGATCTAACCATCCTCCCTAGGTTGATATGTGAACAAGAAGTAAAGGGGGCTGAACGGTACAGGGCCCTGAGATCCATGAAACAACACAGCCGGTGGTCAGGATGGCACCACCACCCAAAAGTCCCTGCTTCTGATGGACACCCATTGAGTCTCGTTCAGTAGGGGTACCTGATAAATGTCATTGACCCAATTTACAAGGAAGGCACCAGCACTCAACTCAGTTTCAATATTTGATTTGGCATGTAAACATGCCCTGTATTGTGATATGCTGAAAGAACTGTACACCTGTTTTCAAGTCTTGCCATCCACAACAACCCAGAAAAACAACATCAAGCAACAGTATCTTCAGTTTCTTACCAGACAGTGGTTCGTTCTGAACATGGTCTTCTTCTTCGTCAGGCTCCTTACACTCCTTCGGAAGGCTGGTCTTTTTTTTCTTTAAGAATGAAAAAGACTTGCTGGACCTGGAGGGGTCCGCTTCTTCAGCTGATTGCTCTTTGACAGGTTTTGATGCACTTCCCATCAAGCTCAAGCTCCGAATTGGTTTGAATTTCTTTGGCTCGTCTTCTCCTTGATGACTCAGGTGCAGATAACCTTTGGGAAGACAATGATTGATTGATTGATTGATTGATTGATTTCCCACCCTTCACCCTAAGGTCCCAAGGCAGGTTACAGCATTAAAAACAATTGACAACAACAAATTGTCACCTTCTCCTTCTGTGTGGTTCACTGAAGGTTCCATTTTCTCCTCCTCTTCCTTCTCCTTCGTTTCTGTTTTAGTTTCATCCAGTTTAGGTTCAACCGATTTCTCTTTGAGAGATTTTGATCTACCTTTCCTCAAGCTCATTCTTATCATCTTATTGATGTTTTGGGGCTCCTTTTCTTTGGGAAGGCGCTTGCCATCTTCACTCCCCTCCGTATGTTTTGCCAGAGATTTTGACTCTGATGGCGGCTCCATTTCCCCGTCTGCCTCCCTTATTTCTGCCTTATCTTCACCCATGTTGACTTCAGTAGATTTCTCTTTGGCAGATTTCGATGCCTCTTCACCGTCCATGTGTTTTGCAGGAGACTTTGGTTCTGCCGCTGGCTCCATTTCCCCATCAGTCTCTCTTGTTTCTGTTCTAAGCCCATCCGTGTTAGTATCACTTAATTGCTCTTTGAGACTTTGAGACTTTCTTTTCCTGGTGCTCAGCATTTCTCTGATACCCCTGATGAAGTTTCTTGGCTCGTTTTCTCCTTGTTTATGCAAGGATGGACAGTCTTCGGGAGGACAGTGTGCACCTTCACTCTCCTCACTTTTCGCTGGAGACTCCGGCTGTGATGGCACTTCCAATTTACCATTCCTCCCGCTTATTTCTGTTTTATCTCCATCCATTTTAGCTTCAGCCAGTTTCTCTTTGGCCAGTTTCGATGCGTTTCCCCTGAAGCTCAGCGCTTCTCTGATACCCCTGATGAAGTTTTTGGGCTCGTTTTCTCCTTGCTGACTCAAGGGCGGAGAATCTTTGGGAAGACAACCGCCGATTTCACTCTCTGTGCATTTTTCTGGAGACTCTGGCAACTCCATTTCCCCACTCGCCTCCCTTGCTTCTCTCTCTCTCTTTTTTACTGTGGGAGGCGGGGGGGGGGCAGGGCAGGGAAAGAAAGCAAGAAAGTTAATCAGTATGTTACAGAAGTGGAAGGCAGGAAACAACTATTGCTGACATGTGCAGTAGACATCCACTATCAGTAAGGCCAGCTTTACATATGGGTGTGATGGCCTGGGACTCTGGCTCAGACTTGGAACCAGAGGAGAATCAGTCTGCACCAGATCCTTTGCCTCAGGCATCATCTGAACCAAGTCTGGGGCCTGATCCTGAAGAGCCCCAGTCTGCTCAGGTTCCCCTGCAACAAACACCAGCTGGGCCAAGTCAGGGGCCTGAGCCTGCCTTGGCTCCAGAGGTGAGGATTACCTCGTTGCCTTCAGCTGGGACATCACTTACAGCTGCTCCACTACAGGTTTGGTCAGGGGAGGCTGAGGCGGCTTCTGGGTTTACTCACCCACCGACGTCTCCTGAGCTGCAGAGACTCAGGTCTGAGAGAAGGAGAGACCTGAGTACTCGCAGGAGGAGTGCTCGCCTTCGGGCGAAACAGGGAGGTGAGTCGCTGGGGGATCAGGACCAGCCGCTACCCCGACAAAGATAAAAGGTTATCGGACCCTGCCCCAGATTGCAGGAGCAACATTGCTGTATGCCAGATCTTGCCTGAGATCCTGTATCTGTCCGTGCCTGGTTTCCTGCCTCATGTCCTTGGCTGTGTCAGGCTGACTCCCAGCGGACCCTTTGGATTCTGGACCGGTTCTGGACCGTGTTTCATGGGTTACCCCCGGGCCCAGCACAACGTAATAGTATCATTGCCTGACCATAAAAATTGTAAGGACCATTTTGGAGGGTGGTGTCTAGCTGACTGCTAGAGTGAAAAACAGCTCCAGATTAGATGCAAAGACTATGCTCAAATTCAAGAGGTTTTTAAAATTGATAAAAAAGTTGGTTTCCAGGTGGAAAAATCGAAATTAGAGACTGAACTGTTAGAACCAAAAACTAAGATACTTTCGAGAATGTACAACTTGCTGCTTAAATGGAACACACAGGATGAGACAGTAAAATCTGCCATGATAAAGTGGGCACAAGATATTGGGCACAACATTATGTTTGAGGACTGGGAAAGGTTATGGAACACCGGAATGAAGTTCACGGCATGTAATGCCTTGAAGGAAAACATTATGAAAATGATATACCGGTGGTACATGACACCAGTCAAGCTTGCTAAGATATATCACCTGTCTGATAACAAATGTTGGAAATGTAAAGAGGCGGAAGGGACATTCTTTCATCTCTGGTGGACCTGCCCAAAAGTGAAGGCCTTCTGGGAAGTGATTTACAATGAGTTAAAAAAGGTATTTAGATATACCTTTCCTAAGAAACCAGAGGCCTTCCTCCTGGGCATGGTGGACCAGAAGGTGTCAAAGAAGGATAGATCTTTGTTTATGTATGCTACTACAGCAGCAAGAATCCTCATCGCAAAGTACTGGAAGACACCAGATTTACCCACGCTGGAGGAATGGCAGACACAGTTGATGGACTACATGGAATTGGCTGAAATGACTGGCAGAATCCGAGATTTGGGAGAGGAAATAATGGAGGAAGACTGGAAAAAATTTAAGGACTATTTGCAAAAACATTATAAGCTGTATGAATGTTAAGAATGTGTACGATTAGGAAACTTTTGCTTCAGCAACTTGAATAGGTGAATTGGAAACTACGGTAAGTTATAAGAAAGACGAGGTGGACAATATGAAATAACTATACTATGTTTATTTTAAGGTACAAATAACGGAGATACAGTATTTTGAACTTAGAAACATAGTATTTGAAAGATACAGTAAGATATGAAATAAGGTAACAAATTGCTGATGTTTTAATTGCAAAGAACGCAGGGTTCGGAAGATGTGGGGAAGTCCAGTTGGAATGGCAAAAATATTTTGGAAAGTTGGTTTCTATGTATCTCTTTCTCTTTTTATCTTCATTCTTTATTCTTTATTCTATAAATTTCTAACTGTTGGAAAGAAAACTTAATAAAATATTATTAAAAAAAAACAGATTAGATGCAAAGAGGCCTCTGCAAGCACAGAGGAAAAAGTTTGGGCTGGGCGATTGTATCCAAGGACTGAGGCTGGATGAGAGATGGTGGGGCAATGAGGGGCAGAAGATGGCTGGGGAGAAGCTGAAACATCTCACATGACACATCCCCCCCCCATAAAGCATATACAGTCACACTGCCAGCCAATTGCAGAGGCTGCTGTTGCACATCCACCCTGCCTCTTTCATTCCAGAAGAGATTTAAGCACCCATACGCAGGATTGAATTAACCATTAAGCGAAATAAACACAGGGATCAAGAAAAAAAGGGGGGGGGCACCACAGAAACATTCCATTGCCGGATTTTTAACACTAATGATCACAAATTGCTCAGCTGAGCATTCTTTTTCTCCGTTGAAGTACATTAAAAATCCCAACAGAACAACTATGAAACAAGGCATGCCTTATCTTTGCTAACTCTAGAAGCAGATGTGTTATGTAATATTAGTTTTGAGGACCTGATCAAAGGCTTTGCAATTAGAAAAAGTAGGGGAATTTCCACCCTAAAATATAAATACAAAAATAAGCATTATTTCCCATCTTACTGTAGGTTTCATTTCATTTCGGGGGGTGGGGGTGGGAAATGATTTTACAGTGTATATATTGAATTAGATAAATATGGGGACTAGGGCTGCCATATTTCAAAAAGTGAAAATCCGGACACAAGCTTTTTTTGGCAAAGTTGTTGAGCTTTTCTCCAAAAAAATCTGCACTTCCCGTATGGGCTGCCATGCACCTGGGTTTTTGATGGACGAATCCAGGCTATGTCTGGGAAACTCTGGATCTATGGCAGCCCTAATGGGGGCAACAAAATCTTTTAAGTGCTTAGGGCCCCTAAAGGTCTTATTCTGTCCCTGCCCACACACCACCCATAAGCCACATCGTTTGGTCCCAGGCTAAGACCATGGCATTCTCAGAGCCCTGGACAAAGCCTGCATGTATAAATCCCAGCCTGTCTGTCTGAGATCATTCATAAAACACGTTGATAGTCTCAGGACTTACACCAGGGGTAATAAACACAGTTTCCTCCTGTTGCTGTTGGACATTTTGCAGCAACTAGAGATGGTCAGATCTGTCACTTTGGGTTTTCTCAAGCTCTCATTTTTCTAATCTTAAATTACGGCTCTCCACATTTCTTTGGCAATTTGCACTTTTTCAAAAATCGCTGTGAAGATTCAGCAGCATTTTTGTGCGAATTCATCCTAAGAAACCTAATTTTTGTATGTGATTTCGCCCAATGCACGCATTTTTGCAAACCAGTTCCCCCCTCATATAGTGCAGTTTTCTATGATTATCACAAATACTTGCATATTTCTGCATGTTTTACCCTAATACATGCATTTTTTGACACATTACTTGGCTGAAGAACCGCATTTTCAAATTGGAGAAGTGCAAATGGATCTGGCTGCTTGCACATCATTTTGAAAAATGTGAATTGGGCAGGTTTGCATTTAAAGAGCCAACTTAATTGAATTTCCAACCCCCATCCCAAACAACAATGAATCAACCCAACTGTCTCCTTGCTGGCCTGGTTATAATGGCTATAATGATGAGCTCCCACACTTTGAATTTTGCCACTCCGCCACCGGCCAGATGTGTTCAGAGCTACATCCAGGCATGTCCCTGACCTACTAAAAAGATGACATTCAATCTCCACACTATAATAGGGCTCCCTTCCTCTCTGTCAATCTGTTGAGTGAAGCTGAAGATGGAAAACCTCCAAGGATCCCAAGCAGGTCAAGGCAAGTCCAGGGATTGATTTTTCACTGCGCCGCTTATTGGCCTGATCTCTGGAGTCGATTCAGTACTTGTTTCTGACCTGTAAGGCGAACCCTCGTTTGCATACTCTGCCTCGGTTAAAAGGGCCCTCGATAGCTTAAGTTTTCTGAAATCAGAAATACGTCAATCGCCATGGTTACTGCTCTGTGGTTTTGAAACGTGCAATCCGTTTTTGTAATGCCGTGTTTGGTAGGCCGGCCAAGTGTAAAGGGGAAATGAGGCTCCTGTGCTTTTAATAATGTGTTGCGGAAGGATTTTCAGGAGGTGGAGCGGGGAAGAAAAAGTACAGCTAATGATTTATTTATTTTTAACGAAAGGACAGACCTAGTTGTCCTACCGACACCCCACTTTTCCTACTTCTATGGCACCGTAGGATGGCAGCTCCCCAGCCCCCTCCTACACTAGACCCGTCCTTTCAGTGAGTGGTGTGACAGGCAGAAATACCACAGGGTGAGCTTTCCACCCATCACTGCCACTTGTGGCTGCCTGGGAGGGCTTTGCCACCAAATTTGATGGTCAAAATAGCTGCTAAAGCCCAGGAACCACGGCAGGCGAAGGAAACAGCAATCCAAGTTACAAAATCGAGAGAAAGACACTAGGAGAAAATGACAGCTCTTTCTTTCAGTTGAAAGAAAGGGATTTGAGTAACTATGGAGGTGGAAGAAACAGCAGAGTGGACCAAGATAGTTTCTGTTATGCATTCAGTGCTCTGTGTTTGTCTTGAGACTGGACTAAGGATTCTAAGACCCTGTGTTCTGATGAGAGACATGATATCCAATCACAGAACATTTCAGGATTTGGGCCTCTACCATTGGCCCTTAAACTCTTGAGTCACGATTCGCCGCTTGGAAGTTTAGACAGCCAATCACGTTGGGAGTGGGAGTGGCCCAGGCCTTCAGAAATGCATATAAGGAGTTGCTTTGCCCTGTTGTCCAGTTCTGTTAGTTCAATAAAGGTTCTTTATGTTACCACTGTGTCCTGCCTTGTGAGAACCCACCTACACTTCAGTTTCTATTCCCAATTTAATAGGAGTGGTGTTTGGGGAAGGTAGGAGAGCCCATCACACACAGAAAAACACACACACCTAGCTGTCAAGCATTATATGCTTTGTGTGGGGAAAGATTCCATCTTTGGAATTTCCAGGTAAGGCCTGGAAGCCTGGACAGCTGCTGCCAGTCAGTGTCCATAGTATTGAGCTTCAGGTTACATACGCTTCAGGTCACAGACTCCGCTAACCCAGAAATAGTACCTCGGGTTAAGAACTTTGCTTCAGGATGAGAACAGAAATCGCGCGACAGCAGCAGGAGGCCCCATTAGCTAAAGTGGTGCTTCAGGTTAAGAACAGTTTCAGGTTAAGAATGGACCTCCGGAACGAATTAAGTACGTAACCAGAGGTACCACTGTATAAGCAGTTTCCTATGTTGCTATCCCTTCTCCCATGTTCTAATCTAGACCATGTGTGATTATACATTGAAGTGCTTTTATTCTGTCCAGGCAGAATGAGGACCATTGTGCACCAAGTGAGCCCATGTTCTAAATATGTATGGCATAAACACAAATCCCTGTGCTTTTATTTTATTTTTTCTTCCATCGAAAGCCCAGGCTAGCATGAACTCTGGTTTCCATGCCAATGGGATAAACAACCATAGCAAAGCCCAGCATGGAGAGTTTGTGTGCGGAAGTGAGAGGCTGGAAGGATTAGAGACGCCATACCCAACAGCTGACTCCCAGACCTTTAATCAGTGTAAAGGCAGGGCATTTTTCCAGCTGGAACTCAGCGGAACTCAGTTCCGGTACCTTTCAGGTGAGTGCCGTCGTTGCCATTCTAATAGAACAAAGGAGGTGTTCATGGTGAGTTCCGGCACCTCTTTTTATATAAAAAATAGCACTGTGTAAAGGGATAGAGAGCATTGCATTTGCGCTAACTCCATGTGGCTATTATAAACCATAAAAATGGGATTATATAGTAGGTTTGCATACAAACCCTTTGGTTGCAGTCACAGACTTCTGCTGCAGTACATTTAAACCTCCCCCTCCCCCAAGAATCCTGGAACTGCGGTTTATCCCACAAAGAACTACAATTCCCAGCATCCTTAACAAACCAACGGTTGATTTTTTGGGAGATGTGTGCTTTAAATTTGCTTTGAATGTAGGGTATTATGCATGTTTGCTTTGAATGTAGGTATGTAGGGACCCCTGACCATTAGGTCCAGTCGTGGCCGACTCTGGGGTTGTGGCGCTCATCTCGCTTTATTGGCCGAGGGAGCCGGCGTACAGCTCCGGGTCATGTGGCCAGCATGACAAGCCGCTTCTGGTGAACCAGAGCAGCGCACGGAAACAACGTGTACCTTCCCACCAGAGCAGTACCTATTTATCTACTTGCACTTTGACATGCTTCGAACTGCTAGGTGGCAGCAGACCGAGCAACGGAGCTCACTCCGTCGCTGGGATTCAAACCGCCGACCTTGATCAGCAAGTCCTAGGCTCTGTGGTTTAACACCACAGCGCCACCCGCGTCCCTTTAATGGGCATATTAGACAACCCCCAAATTGGCAGCTGCAATTTGGGGTTCCTCTTATAAGCCCAGTCGCCTAATACGCTGGGCAGCTCCGCGCCGGGTAAAGCGCCGGTGCGGAGTAGAGCCCACCACTCCAGATAAAATTGGAGGAAAAAAATGTTCTTAAAAGCACTTTTTAAACTTCCTGCACATTTACCAATCTTTCATCAGATGAGTTTGAAAGCTGGAACATTGTTGATCTGTTCATGTACATTACATATGCCAATGTTCAAATTATTAGCTCATGTTTCAAGTTATTTTGCAAGTTAAAATAGTGAAAGTTTTTTGAATCCTGAAATCAGACTTGTAAAGTGCTACTGATGGCCAGAAATGTCATGAAATTTTTCCTGCTCTATTATTTCATACAAAAAGGTTTCTGACGGTCCTTTTTATTGAGTCATCTGTGTTAACAGATATGGGAGCCTGCTTTCAAGTTGCATGGAACTCTTAATCAGGCAGGAGTAAGTGTTCTATGTAATTCAAAAGCTTTCTGTCCTACTCTGCCCTACAGTTCCTGTACTCTGCAAGCACAGCCATTAAATTTCCATGCACTGTAGTGCTAGTCCTAGATGGTAAAAGGTTCTATATTAAATTGTTTCATAACGGCAATGGATCTCGCTCTCTCTGTAACTCCATTCTAATTGACAGTGAATTCATAGCCAGAATTTTAAACCTGATAGGCCCTGCCTATTGAAGCTGAATGTCAAATGTAGAGCCTCTTTAGCCAGCTGGTGTTGACTTGGTTGTTGTTTTTTAAATAAAATAAAAAGCTTTCTGTTCTTGTGCTCTGCTCTCTACTGCATCCAATGTTAGGCTTATCTTCACACTAATGCTGTGTTTGTCTTTTCTTATGCGCTGTGTGTCTGATGACCTCCTGTGTTTGTGTGTTCCGCCTCTGAGAATCTTGTATATGCTTCAGCTTGCTGTGGTTGTGAATAAACTAAACAATAGCTGGTGAAAGGAAATGGGGCTAATCTGCTAATCTCAAAGCACTGAAGGAAATGCCCTCTGTGATGGGACTGTGTTGACCTGGGGCAACAGCTGTTCTCTAGTTTAGCAGCTGGAAAATGTGATTTTTACTGCAGCTATGGACATCTTAAAACAAAAGTTGTGCTGCTCTCTTACTGCACAATGTGTACCAACCTCTGGTCCCTGTGACCACATAAACTCACTTTGACCCTAACAAAGGAGACTTAATAGGAGCAGTCTCATCTGTTGTTCAAGTGACTTGCCTGTTCATGTATAATGTGGGTGTGGAGATCTAATTTTTACATCAACCTTAAGCAAAGCTACAGGGGGGAAATGTCTGAAGTAGGGGAAGAGCTGCAGCTCCTGGGGAAGGGCCATAGCTCAGTCATAGAGCATCTGTTTTGCATGCAGAAGGTGTCAGGTTCATTCCCCAACATCTCCAGGTAGGGCTGGGGAGAGAACCTTTCCTGAAACCCTGAAGAGCCATGCCAGACAGTTTACAGACAGTACAAAACTAGATGGACCAATGGTCTGTGCAAGTAACTGAACACTTGTGGACTTGCAGATATTATGGCCTCAAATAAGAACACTTCCAGGCTTGGGGAACCAGGAGACGCAAAGATCACACCATTTGTTCACCAGAGAGCCAAAGTCTACATTGGAGGGTTGCCAACCCACAAACAATGAACTGCATTACCAGCCTTGTTACAAATGTGAAGAGAGATGAGACAGAATAAAATTGCCAAGTCATTTATTTATGAAACTTTTATACCACTTTTCTGTTAAAAATAAACAGAGCAGTGCATTGTTTGGAACAAACAGTGAAGAATATTGCATGGCAGGAAATCACCATTAACATTCCTCTGAATATAAACTAAGCAGAGCCTTAATCAGTAATCTGTCAACTTGATAAAACAAAACCCTTAAAATAAAAAAGGATGTAGCTCCTCAACCCCATTAGCCTTTACCATTTCCAAATAAGATCGAAGCTCTGTTGTTTGTGGGGGTGGGAGAAGTTCCTAGACATATCAGCTTCCTGGACACTTACTGAGAAGGGGCCTCATTTGCTCCAAATGAGAGTAAAGGGAACACACCAGCAGTGAATCAGTTCATGTTCCACTGATTACAACAGACAGCAACATAGTTAATCAGTGACGCATTGTAGAGCACGTAAGTGTAAGTAAGTGGTGGGCTTGGGTTACATCAAAACAAACACCAGATTCTTCTTGAAGTGTGTGGATACGCTAAACAGCTGTCATCTGCAAACAACCCCAAACCTAGTCCTTTTTAGCTTTTCTGAGCTCATTGGTTCGGAATCTCTGCTTCAGAACTACGGCTAACATCCTGATTTCAAATAAATGAGAATGGCATCTCAGTGAGGCATTTGGCAGTGGCTTCTCAAAGATTTGTATATAGGGCTGAGCAAAAGGTGCCTTTGATATGGAGAGGGCAAAACTCTGAATGGAAAGAAGACACACTTCAATCCCCTTCACCGGAAACATAGAACCAAGTATCTTTGATCAAAGCTGATTCCCCTTAAGATTACTATAATGACCCAGCGGCCCAATATGACACGCTGTTCAAAATAGCTGAGCCCAACTTGTAGTGATTGTGCAAGACATCCAGGCCAGGCAAGTATTGGAACTCCACTCCAAGAAATGTAAGCTGTTTTTGATGGAAGAGAGTTTTGCAGCAATCTTCCTTTGATGGCAGCACATCTTGACACTCCTCCTCCTATTAATTCTCTCTGCTGGAGGGCTAGACCAGTCAGAGGAAAATAGTACCATATTTGGTAATGAGGATGGGATATTCAGTCTCAAAGACCCATATTTAGTTGCAAGGTATAGGCTGTTGCTACTGTTGCTACTGTGGCATTCCTAGGGGAGCGATCTGTTTTGTTTTCGCATTCTTTAAGAGTAAGACAATTTTATTTTGGGCTAAGAGGCAAACTCCAGCCTCCTGAGGTTTTAAAACTTGACTGCTGTTGGCAGTCTCAACATCTCTTTCTCTCTCTCTCTTTAAGGACAATATAGAACTCAAGGCTCTAATTCCTTTGCAGCTGGGAGAAACATAACATTAGCTCTTGGCCTCAGTTCTGATCCCCCTTATCCTTGTGGCCATCGTTCTTCTCCTCTCCTCACCCTCTGCAGTTCTGACTCTAGAATCAAGGCAAGGGTTAAGAGAGGACACCAATATGAGTGATGCTGAGGTCTGAATGTGCATTTGAGAGAGGAAAATGTGTTTGTGTGCAACAGTGAAGCTGTTAGATACTGGATAGCCCAGGCAGAAGCATCTTTGTCTGCAGTTGGAAAGCTCTGTCAATTTTCTTTTCTTTTCTAATAATTTTTTATTGCTTTTCCATAATATTTAACAAATTGTCACCAAAATAATACAAATTACTACAAATTCAATACAAATTTAAAAGCTGATATCCCACACACCCCAGATGTTCCATCTATTTTCCTCCCTCCTTTCCTGCTCCCAATAAAATAACTTTTCCAACTATCATTTCATGATACAGTCATCCCTTCTCCCCCAGTTACCAGTTTTTGCTGCGGCTTTTATACATTGTTATAAACTGTCCTCAAAATAGTTGAGTAGAGTAAATCCTCTTTTATCTATCTGTAATAGTCATTCATCAATTTTGAAACATTTCCTTCTGATACCTCTTGAGTAACACTTTGCCTGAGAAAGACAGATCTTGCTTCCTCCCAGACAACACACACACATTCTTCCCTAACATGGCCTTGAACATTGCTGTCTGACATCTGGCCCACTCAGTCTCACTGGTGCTGCATGCAGAGGGTGAAAATGAAACCCCTAGAATTTTTTTGGGGGCGTATAAACATATAATATACATCACCCTCTCACACTACCAATTTCCCAACATCACCCACCCCTCACATTTTGCCAAAATTTAATCCTGCATTTTACATACAAACAGTTCATTAATAAATAAACATAATCCATTTCTCTTCTTTTCTGTCTGAAAGTCTCAGATGCCGTCAAGATGGTATGCACTGTGGTCTACCCTGTCTCTTTCACTGTTCTTATTTCCAGCTTCAAGGGGATGGGGTTGATATGATCTCAACAAAATCCATATCTTCTCTCCATCCTCCCCCTCTAAACTAATAAATCTTCCTGCAGTCCATCTTGCCAATCCTCAATTCCATTACATCCAACTCCACAATTTATTCTCTTCCGAGTGCTTAACAGACAATCAATCCAGTTGTTCCCAAACTTTTCTTCTTTATTATTTTAATTTCACAATATGAAGTTCCAAGGAGTGTTCAAAATCCCTCAAAGCCCCTCAAGGTTGTTCCTCTCCATCTTCTTTCAGGCAAAGTCCTTAGTTATAGAAGTACCCAAAGAGGTATTTTTAAAGTCACTCTTCCCAAAAATTTTACATTCCATTCCTTTAGGGGAGAGTAGATAATGCAGACCCTCCCAAAATGACTTAAAATATTGCCTCCCCTCCCCTCCTTCCACCTCTCAAGCAAAGCAGAAATAAGCGTCTTTCATTCTTTCCAAACCCTAGTAGGACCAACTTGGTTTTCTCCTGCAGCATAAATCAGGATCTTTTCAGGGGGGTGCCTCTTCGCTTGTCAATTATGCCCAAATTAAATGGTATTCCACAGCTCATCATGGTAACTTGCTGGGGCTGTCCTTGGATGGAGCCATTGAGCCCAGCACCCTCACCTTTTCATCTGGGAGATGAGGATTTCCACCCCACCCCCCGCGAACACACATGGGACTTGATCTCCTTCCGCAGGGCCTGTAAGACAGAGCCATTCTGCCTGGCCTTCAATTGGAATTACCCTGGTCCTCTATTCCCTTTCCTCTTCTATGAAGAAACCATTTCTGGGACCCCACATTTAAATTCTTCCCTGGTCTCCTTGCTGGCCCTAGTAGGACCAACTTGGCCAGTTAGCCCCGGTGATCATTTGATGTCTACTGACTGGGTTCCGCCCCCCCAAAAAATGACCCCTGAATTTTTGAATTTTATTGATGTTGTATTTTATGCTGTTTTATGCCATTTTTAAGTCACATTTTAATCAATGTTTTATATTTGCTGTTAGCTGCCCTGAGCCCGGTTTTTAAACCGGGAAGGGCGGGGTATAAATAAATCATCATCATCATCATCATCTTGACAGTAGCTCTTCAGTGTCATCTGTACTTTGACCCTAATTCTCTGTGGCACTGCAGGTAATGGCTACCCACAAATCTCCTCAGGTATCTTCTTGGAGAAAGCAGGTTTGATACTTAAAGCTTCTGAAGGCCTTCTGACTTTTGTCTCTTCCTTCTCCCTTCCTTGCAGTGGTTTGCAAAAAGAACTTGGACAGCACCACAGTAGCTGTGCATGGAGAAGAAATCTACTGCAAGTCATGCTATGGGAAGAAGTATGGACCAAAAGGCTATGGATTTGGACAGGGAGCAGGGACTCTGAGCATGGACAGGGGGGAAGGACTTGGGATCAAACCTGAGCAGTAAGTTGTAAATCTTTCTGCATCTTGGTAACAAGTGTGATCATATTGTCTGTCTTAGGTGAAGATTTTATTTTTGCTCGTGCAGAAAGAGGAGTTACTTCTGGAGAAGTCCCTATAATTCAGAGATAATTCTGACCCAATGCTGCTTTTGATTAAAATACCACAATGCTCTCTCATATATGGGGAAAATCCCCATGACTGGCAACAATTTTAATTGGGGACTTGATCAATTCCCAAGTGCTTCTAGGTGCAGAAAAAATGCAGCACTCTGGTTATTTAAATGTGTGGCCTGCCCCCTCTTAAACACCACAACGTATTGGCATTATCTATAATCTAGACAAAAGCCAACAAAACAAGCCCCAAATCCTCTTTTTTCCAGGTTAACCTTGGTCACAAGTGCCAGCTTGAATAAGGCCCTGTCTAGTGATAACTGTGCCAAATATGGATATTTTAGAAAGTGAAAAAGCAAAATTGGGCACTCTATCTTTTGGAATGACACAATGTCTGCCCCCTCTCCTAAGTTGTAGTCCTTGACTGCTGCTGTATTGAGTATATGACTGAAATTATCTGGATGAGTACCAGACCAGATTCTCATCCCGCCAGATCTCTGTGATGTAAACAAACTCTGTGGTCTTGTCCCCTGTGTCCCATGGTGCACAGCACACTGACCTGGCATTCACCAGCAAAAATGGAAGTTTGGGAACAACACTATCCTATAACTTACCAGACCCTAGAATACTGATGGCACACTGTTTTTGTTCCCCACTCCTTCCATAGCCACAAATGGAATTGGCTGTCACCAATATCCTCCTTCCCTGCAGACTCTACAGTGTACAAACCTGCAGACATATAATGATTGTTTCCCTGTCTGGACTCCACAGGCCCCAGCCCCACCAGCCTACCAACAATCCCAACGCATCCAAGATGGCGCAGAAGGTGGGTGGTGCTGACGGCTGTCCCCGCTGCGGACAGGCTGTGTATGCTGCCGAGAAGGTGGTTGGAGCTGGAAAGGTAAGAGCCTGCTGTTAAGAGCTGAACCTCAGAGCATAAATCACACACTGGTGTGAGAGTAAATCAAAAACATTTTGGATGCAATGGGGAAACCGCTTCCAGTTGGGGTTTCCTGATTTGGGGCATACATAGTGAAACACACGCGTGTGGAATTTTCCCACATTGCAATTTACACTAAACTTGTTGCATGGGGTGGAATTTAATGTTGCAGTATTATGAATGTTCTGTTTTCGGAAGCATTTCAGCTTGCCAGACAGATCAAACTCCCCTCCCCTCTCCTCTTGGGTTGCTTCCAGTGCCCCCTGAGCCAATTGCAGGGGGCATGGGGAGGGGGCGGAAAGAAGGCCCATCACACAAGCAGAATCCTTGCACAGGGTTTCCACTCACAGGCTCCTTAGACAAATCCTGCCCATGAAAACTATGTCTGTGTAAGAACTTCATGTTACAGTATAAGAAGCAGCTCTTGAGTGTTCAACAACTTTTTGTGAAGGTGCTCAAAACAGCCTTCAAAACTTATCCTCTGTCAGATTAGCATAGATATTTTTGTAATCTATTGCAGAATCAAGACAGAAACGTGGCATCTTTTTGTTGCAGTGTACACTGATCTTTGGAACTCCTTGCCCTAAATTATGATTAAGGCTAGCAGCATAAATAGGAATATTAATGAAGTTAGTTGGGGTATGTCCATTCTCTTCCTTGGGTTGCATGCAAACCTTCAAATGCTAGAACCTAGGAGTGATCACTAGGAATTTGGAATAAAGGTAAAGGTAAAGGTACCCCTGCCTGTACGGGCCAGCCGTGTCCAACTCTAGGGTTGTGCGCCCATCTCACTTAAGAGGCCGGGGGCCAGCGCTGTCCGTAGACACTTCCGAGTCACGTGACCAGCGTGATGAAGCTGCTCTGGAGAGCCAGCACCAGCGCAGCACACAGAAACGCCGTTTACCTTCCCGCTAGAAAGCAGTACCTATTTATCTACTTGCACTTAGGGGTGCTTTCGAACTGCTAGGTGGGCAGGAGCTGGGACCGAAAGACGGGAGCTCACCCCGCCGCGGGGATTTGAACCGCCGACCATGCGATCGGCAAGCCCTAGGCACTGAGGTTTTACCCACAGCGCCACCCGCGTCCCATAGGAATTTGGAATATTTCAGTTCAAAACAGTATTTGGGATGGGAAGATGGGTGACTGGGCTGCCGGCCTCATGTATTGCCAGTGAGAACCACTGTCTTTAAAAAAATAAGAACCTAACAATACCTAATGTAGGAGGCCAAAAGTGTTGTGGTGAATCCTTTTACTTGCACCCTAACATCTTGTCTTCTGTGTTGTCCTCAGTCATGGCACAAAGCATGTTTCAGATGTGCAAAGTGTGGTAAAAGTTTAGAGTCCACTACTTTGGCTGATAAAGACGGTGAAATCTACTGCAAAGGTAAGAATTTATATTTCAGGATGTCTTGCGTGTGTTAGATTTCTAGTGAGATGTGATGGTTAGTCACAGGTCAATGTGTCAAATGTGATGCTAATGCAAAGGGTGTTCTGTCCTACTCCAGATGGTCTTGGAGGACCAAGATGCAAAATTGCAAAAAGTTGCTATTTAGGGCTTTCATAGAACCGTAGGTGGCAAACCTCTAATATTTATAACTGTTCCTTGACTTGCAGTGTAATAGTGAGACCGATAAATTCCCCCTACCCTTCATCAGTTTGCCCACCTTGATAATATCTAATGATACCTACAGGTATATATATAAACACGTTTTTCATATCAGCACAGTGTGTCTTAAGGCCTAAACAACTCGCAATGCTCTTGTCTTGTGTAACTTATCGCTGATGCTCGTTGTTGTTGTACAAAATTATTAATCACAGTGGGTGGGAAGAGGCTTCATATCTCTATGCCTCTAGTGGGTTTTCCACTAAAACTTTTAATGCAATTGCTACAGATTGCAGCCTCTACAGCTGTGTTTTGTAAAATAATAATAACAATGAAAGTGTTTGAAATGGAGTGGGAGAAGTTACATGTGTGTAGTTTGCCCCTGAAAAGGGAAGTGTAATTTTCCTGCTTTTGCTCAGCGATTTATGCTGTATGAACTGTTGGTTTGCCGCATAGCCAACACTCTGACTGTGTCTCTCTTCACCTTTTCTCCTGCAGGCTGCTATGCCAAGAACTTTGGTCCCAAGGGCTTTGGCTTTGGGCAGGGAGCTGGAGCACTTGTCCACTCCCAGTGAAGAGCTGGCCCATGAGAGACTTTGAAGTCTCCTCTCCAGCACTGAATGCTTTGCCAATGCTGAACTCATCCAGACTGACCCTCAAGGCAATTTCACCAGTTCTTGCAAATGTATTAACAGTAACAGAATCTGCTGCTTTCCAGTGTATCACTGGCCCACCTCCTGTTTACTAGCCCAGCAGCCAACCATATAGTCCTGACCCATATGCCCTAGAAGACACTAAAGTTTCCAATGATCTGCAGTGGGCTCTAACCTACTATGGCTCACATTAATACAGTGGCCTTCTTAAATACAGTGTCACGCTTTCAGCCACAGCTGAAACTATATACAGCAGAGAGCATAGCCATTTCCGTATATAAAACACTGTGATAGCTTCTTCAAAACACCTCTTCCTCCTACCCCAGCAAAGGTTATTTTTGTGAGAACATATTATATATTGTGATATTAAGTCTTATTGAAAAGTCAAGTGCAAAATATGAAGCTGATCAAAGATGATTGTGGACCACAAGGATAAAGAGCTGAAAACTAAAACTACTTAGTTGTGTATAAGTGATACAGAGAAGGAAAGGGAAAGTGTGTAAACATGCACAAAAGTGTAAATAAAGCACTTTTCTAGAGTTTGGAGGAACTATGCAGGCAAATCCTAAACTCTTGTAACCTTGAACATTTCATTTTCAGAAAAATTACTAATTACTAAAATTAAGGCGCTTTTTCATATTTGGGAGAATTTAGATCATATCAAAATAAGGTTTCAGAGACTGATACACAGGTGCTTTCCCCAGTGGCCCACCATTCCTGTCACTCCTAGAAGGTGTACAAGTTTGGAGGTGTACAACCAAAGTTTCAATATTTGTTACGGCGACTGGGACCACTGAGAAGTAGAGGGTCTAGAAGTCCAATTTGCTACTGCTTCAGGTTATCATCAGTCCTTTCTGTGTCACTTCCCCCTTGAACAAAGGAAGTGCTTAATGGGTCAGCTTCACTTCTTTGCCTTGAGGGTAGCCCCTGTTTGTTCTTGTCTCTGCTTAGGGAGGTTCCCTGGGCAGGAGAGGACCTGCCTATTGCATTGTCATGGAACTACAGGCACCTGAGTATCCTGTCCAAACAAGCACTAAAAACAGGAGCTGTCAGATTCAATTCACTTCCTGCAAAGCTCTTAATGTAATAGAAGATTGAAGCCAGTGATTAACTGGACCTGTAGTGTATCATTTTATAGGGTTTAAGAAGAGATTAAGGAAGATTCCAAACCACAGAAGCTGTAGCTCTTATAAGCATCTATATATGGGGTCTAATGTTTGCAGTCTTACTTCTTCCTTTTATGAAGCTCAGGGGAAGTCTTGCTTTCAAGGTATAAGCCTTCAAAGGGTTTGGAGCTTTTTAACAGATAATCTAGGTCACGTGTCCCCCAATTTATTTAGCACAATATGGGTCCATATTAGTTTTCAGTGTGATCTAAATGCACAGTTCATATCCTTTCCTTTAGGATGCAGCCTGAATAATGTTTTAATCTCTCCGCTTTAGGGGATTTGCATGAAATTAGATTACATTTCTGTGGGTCCATGCACATTTGTTACAAACTTGCCAGAAAACCTGTAGTAATAATTTTTACAATGTTCTGTTACATACTAGAGCAAATAAAATTCCATGTATTCAATAAAGCGGTTAAAAGGAGGTTGTGTGTCTGGCTCTCCTGTATTTAAGGAAGAGGAAACCTGCCATGAATCTGTCTGTGTGGGAAAGCCTGCATGTTTGCAGTTTCTAGAGATGAAGGCAGAAATAATGCATGCGGGTGAGGGAAATAATGCATGCACAGAGATATTCTCTCACCCTCCCCACCGCCTGTCACTGTTGAAAAGCATTTGAATCTGCACTTTGAGCTGATGAGGGCATTTGTAGCTAGCAACTCTAGCAAAATTGAATGTTAGGAATGTTAGGCATGGTTTCAAAGGTGATTTGTCACAAGAGGAGGAGACCAGCCTGAATGCTGGAACTCTGGGTCTGTGGCAGTCCTCGACCTGAAATCAATTGGAAAGTGAACCTGCATGAGCCTTCCTTTAGGGCAAGGGTGGTCAAGCTGGAGTCCAACAGCATTTGGAGAGCACATCAGGGATCAGATGTGCTTAATACATCTGCCTGTGTGGCAGTTGGGACCACTGTAAGCTTCATACACATAACCCCAAATGTGATGTCAGGACAGTCAGTATAGCATGAGCCTCAATCTCAGGGTTGAAGCCCCACATTGGGTGAAAGATTCCTGTGTTGCAGGCAGTTGGACTAGATTATTCTCGTGGTCCCTTCCAACTCTACAATTCATTGATTCTGTGATTCTTTGACAGGACTGTCATACAACCTCATTTACTTTGGATCTATAGCTTTATCAATCCTGGCACTTCAAGGTAGATAACTCTTTTTTTTTGTCATGCTTAAGGAGATTCCAGAGTTTCCCTCTTTCCTCCACATTGTACTAATGTTTGCCTCTCATCCAGTGGAACCCCTTCTCCAGTTAAAGGTAAAGGTAAAGGGACCCCTGACCATTAGGTCCAGTCGTGACCGACTCTGGGGTTGCGGTGTTCATCTCGCTTTATTGGCTGAGGGAGCCGGCATACAGCTTCTGGGTTACGTGCCCAGCATGGCTAAGCTGCTTCTGGCGAACCAGAGCAGCGCACGGAAACACCGTTTACCTTCCCGCTGGAGTGGTACCTATTTATCTACTTGCACTTTGCCGTGCTTTCAAACTGCTAGGTGGGCAGGAGCAGGGACCGAGCAACGGGAGCTCACCCCATCATGGGGATTCAAACCGCCAACCTTCTGATCAGCAAGCCCTAGGCTCTGTGGTTTAACCCACAGCGCCACCCGCGTCAGAATGCCTTCTGTCACTGGGCTGTGACCTTTTATTCCTCACAGACCTTCATTTCTCACTTGGGGGGACAGTTCCCACATCTACGTTTTGGGGGCTTGTCATTTCTGTGGACAGAGCCTGGCATTCCAGAGATTTCTCTTGAACATCTGGATTTGGTGCTAGAGCGTTGAAGCAGAAATAGGAGGCACCTCCTGTGAGGGTTCATTGTGAGCAAACAAATCATGCTTTGAGCCTGCCTGGTCTTACTCAAGTGGCCTGGCGACCTCTACTGGCAGTGCTCTGAATATTACAGCATGGCATGCAGGACTCCTAGTTTTCACAAATATACAGTACCAGGTCTGCTATGAACGTTTACATTTTGGATATTTGTTTTTAAAAATCTGCTGTAATGCAGTTACATAGATAATTTAAACAACCCCCATCTCAGAATGATATGTGACATGTATTTCAAGCCATGACATGTACTTCTTTCAAATGCACTAACTTACAAATAACAGTTTTCTTAGAAAAAAGGGGTTTATTTCTCTAGGCCAGGTGTGCGCTACATAAAGTCCACAGGTCAACTGCAGCTCCATCCCTATTTGTGGGCTTCTGTGGAAATTCCAAACACCCATGGTGTTGCAGCCCATTTCTGTCTCTTGTGGAAGTAGCTAAAGCCTATCCAACCCCAGCAATATTTGGAGCGAAGAGAGTGCCTGCGCCTGTACTGTTCCTCCCAGTATCGCCCAGATTTCAAAAGCACATGAAAGAGCTAGTGACAGCTTTTTCATCCAGCAAATCAAGTTGCTTGAGCTCACCTGTGCCCATGAAGTCTTCACTGGTGTGAGCTGCTGGGATAATGAAAGCATAATGAAAACTCGTGGGGACTTCAGATAAGGTGGTAGGGAATGGCAGAATGGGGTGGGGAGAAAAGAGAATGAAGATTAGAGGAAGAAAAGGGGAGCAGAGATGGGGAAATGGGAAAAGGTGGGGATAGATGGGGTTTGCAGATTTGTGGTGAAGCAGAAGATAGATGTGTGTGATTTGAGAGAGAAAAGGAAGCTGTATGTAATAGAGAAAGAAAAGGAGGGGGTTAACAGAAAGGAGCTCAGAGAGAACTGTCACGGTGCAGAGAAAAGTTAGTGTACTGTGCAGAGAGAAAAGGGAGGTTCCTCAAGAATGGTTAAAAACGGAGTTAGAGGCAACAAAAATATTTTCTCTGATCAGCTTAGCAATGAGGCCCTCTTGAGCTACGAAAAATATAAAAGGCTATCTCAGTGTAGCAAGTTCCAGTTGCATGTTGTCAATTTGTCAGACTGACCCTTCGGCATCTTGGACATCACTGCCCTTTAGAGTTTCCCATTACAGATTCTATTAAGTAAAAGTAAAACTCTCAAATGTGTATAAAAGGAGAGAATTCAATCTGAAGGGTTTCCCCTCATTATACAGTGGTACCTTGGGTTAAGAACTTAATTCATTCTGGAGGTCCATTCTTAACCTGAAACTGTTCTTAACCTGAGGTACCACTTTAGCTAATGGGGCCTCCCCCTGCCGCCACAGCGCAATTTCTGTTCTCATCCTGAACCAAAGTTCTTAACCTGAGGTACTATTTCTGGGTTAGCGGAGTCTGTAACCTAAAGTGTCTGTAACCCGAGGTACCACTATCGTGCCACCATGACTAGGAAAGCTGCATTTCTGAGCATATGATGCCACAATCTTGTCCTTAGCTACACAATAGCTTCAATGCCCTCAGTAATTTCTTATTTGATCCACATAATGTGGGGGTGCCCACATCACTCTTCTCCTCCAAGGACTACCTTGTAATGATTTGGCTTCTCCCCTTTGTTTAAATTACTTTCCAGACACTTTTAGCATTGTGCGGACCTGTTTCCTAATGGGAAATTTACTAGAAAAGGATTCATTTGTATGCGCATGGAATACTGCTTATGTGAGTCAGCTTTCATGCTAGGCCTACAAAGCTCTACCATTGAAACAGCAAACCATTTTTGTAGTCGAATAACTCAGCCACCCAAGGAGCTGCTGCATACTGCTTATGTGAAATACATATTTATTGAGATGTGGCTCAACAGCAGAATAACTAAAGAGCAATGCTCAGAATCTAACACAGAGGGACTCTTGCACTGCACACAACTCAATCTAGTCTCTGTGTCAGCATATTTAGCAGCAACCTGTGCTTTATTACTTTGTGCTTTATTACTTTGTGAGCAAGAAAAATGCTCTTAAAAGATGTAGAGAGGAAGCCAGATGGGAAAACCGATAGCCTTTCTCAGATAGTATGGAGATCTTCTGTTTCCTCTACCTCTCCCACAATGATTATTTCATAAAGAATGCATGGGACATTCCATTCTATTTGTGAGAGAAGACTTATATGAGAACAAATTTATTGGGTCCAATCAGTTTAGCCCTGTATCCTGTCTCTGGCAGAGACCAGGTTTCAATGCTCCAGGAAGTGTTGGTACCATGCCAAAGGGCATGAAGAGTACTCTGATTGATTTTACATTTAAAATAAATTTAACTTAAATGTAATGACTACATTGGCCAGATACAGACTGGGCAGCTTTATATGAGGGGCAAAGGGAATAGCCCAGTTCTGAATTACTTGGGGCGGGGGGTGGCTCATCCAGGCATTCTGCAAGGTACCACCAGAAGGTAGGAATTATTTCCCTTTAAGCTTCTAGCGCATGGGAAGGCTTTGAGTGCTTCCAGACATGGCTGGGCTTAATTTGCAAATGGTTCACACATGGGTCACTGACATCAGGGCTGAAGTGTTTTTTACTTACTGAATTTTCCCCCAAAAGTAGATTCAGATAAAAGAAGGGAGAGTCTGGCTGGCATATTGATGCCAATGGTCATGTGTGGGTGCTACATTAGATGGGGATTGGCCATCCAGGGACAGCCCTGTGCTGCATACAGCCTTCTCTAGGCATCCATAGGCCAGTGGTTTTCAACCAGTGTGCCGTGACACCCTGGGGTGCCTTGAATGGTGGTCAGGGGTGCCGTGGGCAACACTGCCCTCTGTCCCTCTTTCCTTCCTTCCTTCCCTCCCTCCTCTGATGCCCTCTTGCATCTCTGCTTCCCAAAGGCTTGTACAGCTGTTTGTTGCAGCAGCCCTGGCTACAAGCTCCACAGGTGAATGGTGCCTCTAGGGTGGTCAGGGGGTGCTGGTTGCCAGGAAGCTGAGGCAGCCTCGTAGTAAGCAAGCGGGCGAGGGAGCCCAGCCAGCCAGCCAGTCAGCTCTTCCTGTTGGGAATGGACAGACAAGTCCCAGACCCCTGTGGGGCAGTGTGAGGAGACACCTCTTTGTGGGGCAGCTCAGCGGCGGCTGCCCAGAGGACTCCTGAGGAGAGGGGAGAGGAGAGGAGGCTGAGGGAACACTCCACAAGGGAGGGTGTTTGAAAAAGGGCAAGGGGTGACATAACTGGGCTCCTGAGCCCTACAGGGGTGCCACAGAAAGAATGTAGTTGGTCAAGGGAGCCATGGACTCAAAAAGGTTGAAAACCTCTGCCATAGGCCAACAGGGCTTGAACGTATGTTTCTCTTCTACAGTCTATCCAACATTAACACACCACAAAGGTTCAGAAGGTGCTTTGTATCCCAGTTTCAGCCTTTCTTTTTCAGTCATGTTGTGGAATGCTTGTAAAATATCTTGCACATGATGTCTCTGTAAACTTGGAGACAGGTTTACTACAGTTGCTATCCATCGTTCGGGAGACACTTTCCCTCCTGGGTTACAAAGTACCTGTGCATTGCAAAGACAATCTGATATCAACACGATGCCATGTTGCATTTATGGTCCCAGTTGCACATGGGTGGGAGTGAGAAGCTGCCTTCTATTGGGTCAGAACATTGATTCATCTAGCTTAATAACGTCTGCACTGACTCCCAGTGGCTCCAGAGACAGATTTAGGGGAGCACGATTGGTTCATTCACACTGGGCACAAAACCTAGGGGTGGTGGTGATGGGGATGCCACAACTATTATTTAGAACGGAGTGTGAAAGGTAGTCGGCGGGGGTTAATTTTGGCGTCACACAGGGCGCCACTGAAACTTGAAGGTCTGCCACTAGTAGCTCTCCAAAGTTTCAGACAGGAAGTCTCTCCTGGTCTTACCTGTAGATGCTTGGGATTGAACCTGGGACCTTCTCCATGCTATGGCCCTTTCCCATGTAAAAAGCCATGTGGTGTAGTGGTTAGAGTGTTGGACTGGGACCTGGGAGACCTGGGAGCCCACTAGGTGACCTTGGTCCAGTCACTGTCTTGCAGCCTGATCTACCTTGCCAGGTTGTTATGAGGATAAAATGGAGAGAGGGAGAAGTATGTAAACACCTTGAGATTCCTGGAGGAAAGGTGGGATAGAAATGCCATCATCATCATCATAAAATAAAACTTCCACCACAAACACAATGGATGCTTGGATAATTGGTTTTCTGCCAGCTTTCTTCTTTTTCCAAAATCCCCAAGAAGAAAAGGTGCAGCTTCCCTCACAAGGAGAAAGGCAGTAGGATGAAAGAGAGAGAGAAGAAATTGGCTTGGAAGAAAAGGATTATGCAACCCCACCACCACCCCAATTCTCCCTCTGCTCTTAATTAATGGCCTCCAGCTACTGCTTGCTAGTCATTAGCAAAACATAAACAGAACAGGGGAAGCTGCATGGGGCTCTGTGACATTTGTAGTTTGCTAAGGAGCTATGCTTCAGCTGATATCCAGGTGGGTACAAGGAGAGTTCTGAAAGAAGCAGGAGAATTTTTTCAAAGATTTTCTCCCTCGTTTATTCTGCAGAAGGGAACACTGTCACCCAGCTCGCAGCAAACAGTTGTTCCCACTGGTGGAGGGAGGGGTCCTTACTCTTGTGGGCTGAGCAGGCCGCCATCTAGCTTAGTATTGTCTACACCAGGGGTAGGCAACCTAAGGCCCGGGGGCCAGAGGCGGCACAATTGCCTTCTCAATCTGGCCTGTGGACTGTTCGGGAATCAGCATGTTTTTACATGAGTAGAATGTGTTATTTTATTTAAAACGAATCTCTGGGTTATTTGTGGGTTATTTGTGGGGCATAGGAATTCGTTCATTCCCCCCCCCCAAAAAAAATAGTCTGGCCCAGCACATGGTCTGGACCGGCCCACGGCTGAAAAAGGTTGCTGACCCCTGGTCTACACTGTCTGGCTGTGGGTTTCCAGGATTTCAGACAAGATTCACTCCCTGCCCTACCTGGAGATGTCATTGGGGATTGAACCTGAGACCTTCTGCACGCAAAACAGATGCTCTACCACCAGGCTATGGGTCTTTCCCCATGCAAGAGCCCTGTGGTGTAGTGGTTAGAGTCAAGACCTGGAAGACTAGGGTTCAAATCCCCACTGGCCTTGAAGTAACTTATTTGTCTAGATGCCCATTTGGCTTTTATTATACTTCTGATCAGGGGTGCGACCAGGTAAACTCTGCTCTGCAGAATCAATCACAGGACGTGGCACACGCGCACCATTTGAATGACAATGTTCATCAATTGGAGGGGGCCCCTCAAATATGCAGGGGGGGGGCGCGCGAAAGGACCTTGCCTCCTAGGAGCTGGTTCCTATGCTTTCTGCCCACAAGAAAACACGACCGCGCGCGACTGTTACCCACGACCCCCTCTGTCCATGGCAAGCACTTCCGCGTGGGAATCTGGCCGCGTCTGCGGTGCCTTGTCCGACGTGGCTCCTCCGAGCCGCAGCCCCATTCTCAATCTACCTGCCAATGCCCGCCCCACCAGCAGCATATAGATAGCCATCGCTGCCGCCCACGATGCCGGCGAGCCCCAGCCACTTTCCTTTCCGTGCGCCAGCCGCCCAAGCTGGGCACGCCAGCAGCCCCGCGGGCTCTCTCAGCGCAGCCGGCCCCGCGCCTGGGCGTGAGCGCTGCCTCTCCCCGGCAGGCAGAGCTGGGGCGAGGCCCTGGCGAAGCAGGAAAGGAATGCGAGTGGGAAGAGCGAGGCACAAGCGAGCGGGCATGTAGCGGCAGATCCCGGAGCCCAGAGGCCGGGGCAACCTCCGTCGGAGCTCACGCGGCAGAGGGCGGGCTCTCTCTGTCTCCCTCGGTCTCTCCCTCGGAAGCCGGACGGCCAGGAGCAGGAAGAAGAAGAAGAAGAGGAAAGCGCTCCTGGCAGACCACGCGGCGGCGGCGATTCCTAGCATCCTGGGCAGCCCGAGCCCCATGGCGTCGGAGAAGGTGCTTCGCGAAGGGGTGCTGGAGAAGCGCAGCAGCGGCCTGCTGCAGCTCTGGAAGAGGAAGCGCTGCCTGCTGGGCGAGAAGGGGCTGCGGCTGTTCGAGGCCAGCAGCCGGGGCTCGACGCGTTGCAAGGAGATCCCCTTCGCGCGCGTCAAAGCCCTCGAGTGCGTGGAGTGGAAGCAGCGGCACATCTACTTCACGTTGGTGACGGACGGCGGCGCCGAGATTGACTTCCGCTGCCCTCAGGAGGAGCCCAGCTGGAACGCCGACATCACCATGGCGCTGGTGCGCTTCAAGAACCAGCAGGCGGTGCAGATCGTGCGCGCCAGGCACAGCTGCAGAGCCGGTAAGGCCAGCACGTCGGGGATGGCGCGCGGGGGATGGTGCACGGCATGGGGCAAGGAGATCGCGCCCCTTCTGCCCAGGAAACGATGGCCAGAGCCGAAGGGCAGACGGAGCACGTGCTTTGCGCGCACTGGGGCTCCGCGGGCACTTCCAGTTTAAAATATCTCCGGTAGAAGAGTGGAAGAAGGCATCAGCCAAGAGACGGTGGCGAGATTCGGCCGCCAGTCAGAGTAGCAGTGATCTGACTCAGCACAAGGTGGCTTCAGGCGTTCATACAATATGTGTCATTATCACGCTGGTTCCATTTATGCCTTAATTCATCCAGAAACGTGCATCGAAAGATTGGCACCTTTCCTTTTCATTTTACAACTCGGGATGTGACCAGGTAGCCTCTTAGAGAGCACTCTTGTGCTTCCTGGAGATTCTGGGGGAGCTTAGACCAAGTTGTGGGCACCAGTGGTGTGCGGTGAATTTTTTGTGTGTAGGGGAACAGTTAGGGCTAGAGGTGCCAGTTTATGAGAGCGATGCCCCCCCCCCTTGTGTGTGTGACTTCGTGATGTTGTGAGCACCTCCCTAAGCCAGACAGAAGCTTCCTGGGCTTTGAGGAGGAGGCACCAGGCATCAATACTTTAATACTCTAATTACTGGGAACGTTTAAGGGACTTGCCTAGTCCCCCTAGTCCACTGACCGCATGCCACTGGTGGGCACATAGAGGGTTTCCACTACTCATATGTATGGTAGACTATACAGGAAGGCCCAGGATGTTTTGGTGCCTGAGGCAGAACATCATTAATAGTATTTCCAATTATAGACCGCATACTACCTGATGCTCACAGAGTGGTTTATAGTAGATAAAAATAGTAGATACAGAAGTAATATCCATATCCATTATTTTTATTAGGTATATTGTGGTTTTATATCTTGATTTTATTTTGTGAACTGCCCTGAGACATCCCCAGGTATAGGGCAGTATATAAAATCAGATACTAATACTAATAATAACAATATCCACAAACAATATTAATATAAGTAAAGTCAGAGAGCATTACAAGGCAGTATAATGTATGTTAGGATGGTTGAAAATTTGCATTACATTATTGTAGAACTACCTCCTGAATTTTACTCACCAACCATTGCACACAACCACTATGATCATTCACTGCCTTAAATATTATCTCTATCACCCAGCCACTCATACCTGACAGTATTACAGCCCACATACAAAGGATGCTGTCCCCAGTTCTGAATCATTAATGGGCTCATGACATTTAAAGCATATCCAATGCAAGTGACCCCCCCCCCAAATCCTAGGATTTGCAGTTTGTTATGGGTGCTGGTAACTGTTGTTCTGTTAGAGGGAAACTACAGATTCCAGGATTGTTTGAAGCAAGGGGAAGTCATGTGCTTCAAATATGTCTTCATTGTGCTTTAAATGTATCATGTGAATATGCACTGGACCATCTAATACTCCTCCCCCATCTGAGAAGGCCCAGTTTTATACCAGAGCAGCCTCTCACCCAGGAGGCAGGTTATATAAAACTACTTCTATCCATTCACTTCCAAGCATGCATTGTACTCTACAGCCTGAGCTCCTGACAAATAACTAATCAGCTTGGTAGCAAACGTGAACATGAAGTTCACAATCAAGATGGCCCTAAAGGCCAGCCAGTGGCTACACCCTGCTTTTCCATCAGTGATTTGGCCTGCTCCATCTCATGCTCTATTGACATGTTGTTGGGCAATATCTCATGCTCTGACTGAGAACCACAGGACAAAAAAACCTTGCCAGGCCAGGTACATACATGGAGAGGTGGGAGGGAGAGAGAAAAAAACAGTCTCAGTTCAGGAATCCATGTGAATCTTCTTCTTTTGAACCTCTATCCCCACCCTCCCAATTAGCACCTGCATGGCGATACAGTGGAACCTTGGTTTTTGAACGTCTCCGTTGACGAATGTTTTGGAACTCGAATACCATAAACTCAGAAGTAAATGCTTCCGTTTTCGAATGCACCTCAGAAGTCGAACTTCTGAGGTGGCATCCGTATTGAGTTTTTTGTATTAATTTTTCTGTTTTGAGGCTTCCGTATTGAGTTTTTGGTTTTCGAACGTTTCAGAACTCAAATGGTCTTCTGGAACGGATTATGTTCAAAAACTGAGGTTCCACTGTAAACATATTTGTTGCCCCCTAATGGTGCCCTGAAATCTGCCATAATATGGGCAAGGTGCGAGGCAGTCTTGACGTATGCTAAATTTTTGCCTGCCCTGATCCTTTCACTGACACTTGCTAGGTGCTGACCAAATAGCCATTGCATATATAGAAGTCCTCTGTCTCTGGTGATCTCCACTCAGCCTGAGCATGAAGAAGCATGTAGGAACAGACTGTGTGCCTAACATGCATGTTGTAGAGAAAATAGATAGGGAGAGGCTTTCCACACCTTCTCTCATAATAGTAGAACTGTGGGGGGTAGGGGTGGGGAATCCAATGAAACTAAAGGTATGATGAAGAGAAAAGAAAGCACTTCTTCACGCAGTGCTTACTTAATCTGTGGAAGTTGCTCCCAGAAGATGTGATGAAGGCCACCAACTTGGATAGCAGTTAAAGAAGATCTGATTAATTCATGGGGGCCAGAGCTATTGATGGCTATGTTCTCCCTTCATTGCTGGGAGGCAGTTTGCTTACATTTGCCAAATACTCGGAATGGCCAGTGGGGAGAGGTCTGTCGCACTCAGGTCCGGCTTCTGTGCTTCCTGTGAGAACAGGATGCTGGACAAGATGGTTGGATCCAGCAAGAGCTCTTCTTGTGCTCTGTCCATCAGCAGAAGATTTGTTTTCCTTTACACCTGCTTGCTCTTTTAACTAGTAAGAGGTAGACTGACAAATGCCCTTCACTGTTAGATAGTTGGATCATGCATGTGATACACCCTGTTCTCATGTTACTAGAGCTGCGCCCAGCCAGAGAAGCCTAAGCAATGGAAGGGAAAACAGTACAATTCTTCATGGTTTCTTCACTCCTGAGGTATCATGCTTATTTTAATAGTATGGTATATCAAAGGCTCAGGGTATTTTTAAGGGTGTTTTAACCCCTCACCCACAGCAACCAAACCCTGATACCAGAAGTTATCATGACCTGGAGAAAAGCACATGGACAGAGGGATCGTGGGGGGATAGTTGCATGAAGAGGGGTGGAAAGTTTGGGTCTGGATTCCTCACCTGCACACCTACTGCTTTGGAAACCATATTTCTGTGACATTGGGGCAGGTCCATGTTTAAGCACCAGGACCTGCTGCCATTGCATCTAGTCTATTCCTGAACATGGCAAGTATGGCCGGTCTCCAGTGTTAACTGTACTATGCAGGAAGAAAATGTTACTGGTCTTTTCAGCCAAGGCTGTGTGATTTCTCCCATACCTTGCATATATTCTTGCCCAGTTTCTGTTTCTCTTGTCCTGCTCTAACTTGTCATACTGCAAATCCCCATCAGTCAGCAAGTGAACATGAGACTATTGTTCAGTGCCTGCTCAGGCCAGCAAGTTGTGGATAATTTGCTCCATCCAACTAGCCTCTCATATAAGAATGGCTTTTTGACAGAAAGTTTCTAGGGCTCAAGTGGCTCTTTCCAATTTCAGATATAACTGTAGGTGCTCCACAATGTCAGATGTAACAAAATTATTTCAATCCCTGTTAAACTTTCACTCTTACTCTAGTGATAGGAATTGCTCAAATGAAGAGCACTATTTTTAGTTTGCAAGTCATGTTTTTGACATTATGGGGTTTTGGATTTATTATTACTGTTATATTATTATTATTAGTAATAGTAGTAGTAGTAAGGTTTTTTATTATTTCATTTTATAATGCATATAAAACAGAGATAACAATTATAAAAACAGACAAAAATTAAAAGATGAAAAACAAAACTATAAAATAGGCTTGTGGAATAAGTACGGTAGTTGCTCATGAGTTAAAATAACAAAGTCCAAGGAAATACTATCAACTTTATTGTTATATTATTAATATTGTTTCAGTAACACCTTTTAGTATACAAAGTTCTTTACAATATATTGTAGCAGTCCTGTAAGAATTGGGTGCTTTACTCCATATTATTATTATTATTATTATTATTATTATTTCTGACCTGCATTTCGCCCTAAAGTGTCAGGGCAGGTTACAACAATGTAAAACTACAATAACAAAAGCTGTTTAAACAATTTACAGTCAGAAGAATAGGATAGGTGTCAAAAGCCAGGGTAAAGCCATATAACAAGAGCTGTATAATGAAAGTGCCAAATGTATTTCTGTGGGGAGGGAAATCCAAAGCTTAGGAGCTGCTGCAGGAAATGCCTGCTCCCAGGTCTTCCAAGTTTGAATTTCCTCACACATCAGCACCTGCAATAGTCTGGCCCTTTGTCCAACTTGTCTCCAGTCTAACCAAAGATTTACCCCCTTCCCTTTTCTGTTGCAGCATTTCAACACGAGGCAGCCCCAGCTGGCCAGATTCTGGTGAATGGGTCCAAGGAGCCAGACCCTAAGCTGAACATGGAGAAGACAGAGGAACTGATGGCTGTGAATTCACCTGCCAATGGACAGAAGGCAATCTCCAGCTGCAACTGAACTTAGATCCATTTTTTTTCCTCTTCCATGGTATTACTACTGAAAAATGAAGTGATGCCCAAAGCGTACAGCAAGACCTGGGTCACAAATATAGCTAGAATGCGCATTGGTTTTCTGGCTGTGTCTTTGCTATGATACTTAAGACATAGACAAAGCCCCCTCCAAACTGCTGTGGACTGAAAGGTTGCTTCTCTACACTCTTACCTATGGTGGTCCACACCATGGGACTTTGTAGGTTAGGTTGAAGACACAGACACAGCAAGAGTGACAAAAGAGAATCATTCCATTCCATTGTCTGCCACCAGCCTAGTGCTGGATGGGCAATGCAGGAATTCACTGGATCATGAGGAGCGTTGGGAAGGAACTCCTGAGCATGCCAGGAGCCATCTGATGATGTCATGGTCAAAAGGGAGCATCCCTCCTCGGAGAACTGAGTGACTGACCTGGAAGGAGCAATGGTGAACTGGCTATTCTGATCTGAGAAGTCACATGTTGCCAGGAAGATGCCTGCAGGACTTAACAGAGATACCGGATATAAATTTAAGCACCTTAAGGAGGAGCCTGTGTGGACTTCTGAGACTCTCTTAAATGGGTTTTCTCTGTAGTATTGCTCACTTGAGGCCTTCTGCTCAGAACTAAAGGACAGGAAGAGCACTGACTGGGCCAGTGTCCCATCCTTACGACCAATAGCTCCAGCTCAGTGAATCACTCCGGTGTCCCACTGTACATCCATTTCATTAGGTCCCTTACATGTGTGAAGGGGCAATCCACCTTTAACCAAACCGTCATGTAGCTCCTTTCAGCTTTCCATATGTTCAGGGCAATGTCTGCAGTGGGGAGCTTGTTGCACTCATGTAGGCTCCCCATGTGACTGAGAGGCCTAATAGCACCGGGTTCTAGATTGCTTGAGATGTTTACATGAGAGTAGCAGTCTCCCCACTGCAGAGGGTTGCCCTGAAAGTGTGGGAAACTGGTTGGAGCAGCACAAGTGGGATAAAGTTGAAGGCCACCTCTTTAGTCACATTCCCCCTTCATGTGGGTAACAACTAAACAGGGCCTATTACAGGGAGGAGCATCATGAACTTTTGAAGAGGACTACTCACAAACATGAGCATCCTATTTGACCGCGCACAAGGAAGATTGTCCTGCTCACCTTGAGGCTGTGAATGCCATTGACACCTTCTCATTCTCCTGATTCAAGGCCCATTTACTTACTATGGGCCATGGCAAGGAGGCAGGCGCAGGAAGGTCTTAGGGCCCTGGTGGAACATCTTTATCCATTGGGAATGGAACTGCCAGTCTGAGAATCCCCAGCTGGAAAAGGATGCTATTCATTTTTACCAGGGCGATGGCTGCCTGAGGGCCAAACAATGGGTGCTCATTTACTCCTAACTACTGGTCATTATGTATAACCTTTTATTAATAAAATTTCAAGAAAATCAACAATGCACACGTGTCATTCTTTAGAAGTGTCCTTTTATGGTTCTTTTTAAAAGTTGGGCTCATCACGCCATTGTTTAAAGGATTGTGCCTGATGCATGTATGGGCAATGCTCAGGGATGATGGGAGTTGTGGTTCAGTAACATCTGGAGGTCCACAAGTTCCCTCCTGCTGCCTTAGACCATGGGCCTTTAACTGGACCATTGAGATCCTCAAGTAGGAATGAAGCAAAGTAGGTTGTGGTGCCACCTGCTTTCTATTTTTTGTTGAGAGAGAGAGAGAGAAACTGAATGCATAGAGGACAGGCCTCCTTTGATATTTGATGGTGTGAATTCCTGCCTGACAAGCTAAAACTGCCCATTCTCCCTGGTCATCCTGGCTCATAAATTCAAGAAGAAAGATGGGAATATACCATAATTGTTTTAAAACACTGCTCCTGTGGTAACCCCTTGTTGGGGTTGCTGAAATGGAAAAGGTTGACTGCTGCAACAGATAACTTGGGCTCTGTTTCCCAATCACTGTGTAACACTGAATATGTTAAAGAAGGGACTGCAGTGGAAAATGCAATGGATTGTTGAAATAACAAGGCCATTTTTTGAGAGGGTAGAGCAACTGCTGTTGTCTAAATCATTTTTCAGCATTAACGAAATTAACAGTAGTGGTCTTATGAAAGCTCAGGTTCTTAAAATACAGTTAGTTAATCTTCAAGGTGCTGTAAGTGTTTTCTTTTTAATAAACAACCACAACTAACATGGCTCTCATCTTGAATTTTAGAAAATTGTCTAAAGCAGTGGTTTTAAATATTTCCACTTGCAGGGAATGCTTTCCAAATTGCCAATAAATTTCTGCATCTCTGCCTTAGAACCTCTTATATATTTGCAATAATTTTTGGGAAGTTGTATTCTGGGATACATAATCTGCATGGATCACTGGCCAAGCCTAGTAGGTTTCATTGTTGTCCTTTGTGCCCTGGAACATACAAAATAGTTTCCTGGGGCTGTGCAATGCAGGGGAAGATTGGAAGCTATCTTTCTGGGATGGCTAATAATCATTTCTGTTGTTCTCATTGAGGAATCACAAGTTTCTGAGTTACCCCAGGTTCACAGAACCAGGCCTAAACTTTCACAGGGATGGGGGACATGTGACCCTTCAGGTGCTACTGGATTCATGGACCAATGGTCAGGGATAATGGGAGTTGTAGTCCAACAACATCTGAAGCTCCTCAGCATTCCCCAAGTCTGACATTTGTGTGTGAAGAGAGAGTGAGTGTTCTGCTGGCCTTCCTCTGTTGAGAAGCTCCTACTAGTTCCAAGCCAGCATGGCCAATGCTTAGGGCTGATGGGGAAAATATAGATGGGAATTATAGTTGTTGAATGCCTGGAGAGCCATATGTTCCCTATTTCCTAAACTAGGGGTCAGCAACGTTTATCTTGCCTGGGCCGGATCAGTCCTGTGGAGATCCCTCTATGGGCTGGATCGTGTACGCAGATGCGATTTTCGGAGCCGCAGAAGCAAGTCTCCATGCCAGTTTAATGCAGTGCATGAATGGGCAGCTCAGTTTGGGGGTGGCTTGTGGGCCAGTCAAATGACCTCCGCGGCCTGCTTCTGGCCCGTGGGCCTTAGGTTGCTGACTCCTGTCCTAAACTGAGGCTAAAGAGTATGGAAGGACTTAAAGAAGGGATGCAGATGCTCAAGGATGATAGTGCTAGCTAGTGTGATGTCACCTTTCTGTAAAGTAGCCAGAATGACTTGTAGGAACTTAAGTAAGATATGAACTCAGCAAAAAAGACAAAAGAATGATAAGACCCCCAGTAGCCAGAAGTAGCTTATAGGGAAATGTGGTTGAGTTAAAATAAGCCTGTAACCCCACAAATATCTTAGCCACCACATTTTGCACTAGCTGCATTGATGTGAAATATTGGGAAGGAAACCTCCCCCAAGGATGATGAATATTGTGTAATTTTAAAGATTGCATACTCCTGCACTTCAATATATCGGTGGCATAAAGGCTATCCATATGAGAAGACAGCTTCTACCCACGATCTACCATAATATTATTTCCTTTATTTGTTTGTAAATTTACGAAACCCAGCTCTCAATGGTCCCTCAATTGTCCCACCTTCCATCACATGCACTTCAATTATTTGTGGGTTTTATTGTGACATATGCAGTGCTTTTATAGTGAAGAGTCTGCATGTTCAGATGCATTTAAAGAAGCAGCTTCTAACTCACCGGAGTTGAAACGTGTTAAGTCTTTCAGGCACCATGAGATGCTTCCTTGCAATGTACTGAAGTGGGCTTGAGTGCATAACGCACTTGGTTGAATGGAAACAACTGCCTTTGTCCTGGATATGAAGGAAAAAAAGCTATACAAGTGGTATTTATCATTCTAATGTGCTTGCTGTAGGACTTCTGGGATTCTGCCCAAGGAAAACAAGGATAAACTTTTGCCTTCCTGAAGGAATTTTCTCTCTCTCTCTCTCCACAACATTCAAATGCACACATCTCAATACACACTCCCTCTTCTGCTTTCCCCTTACTGGAGGAATCAGTGCCTGACTCAGCTGTTAGTCCGTAAATCTCACCCACACAGACAGATGCACCAAGTCCCTTGCTGCCAGGCCCTGAGTTTTGTACTAAACACTCTTTCAGAAGCAAAAACTGACCACACTCTCTCTTCTCTTGGAAGGAGATGGTGTTCTCGTTGCTTGCAAGCTATACAAGGTCCACATGGAAACACAGAACAGAAGGATCTCTGCATTGGAGGCACTCCAGGGGTGAGGTTTGAGCTGGTGTCAGCTTCCTGCAGGAGGAATGGGCACCCATGGTGCTGCAGGAGGAGTGTGCAACATTGGGTTGTATGCCACCAGAAAGCAGGAAACCCTTGCAGCCGCAAGGAGCCATACTTGCTGGAATGGCAAATTGTTCAGGAGATAAAGACTGTTCTGTTTTGCCAGGGGAAAAAACAAACAAACTTCTGAGTCATTGTGCTTTTGTATTGTGAAGGTTAAATCCTTCTCATATTGACCTTTAAAACTGTTGCACCAAGCACCTAAATTGAGTGGGCAGAGATTGTGTAAGACCTGCCAAAGGGGCACAGCAACGATCTGACTAGGTGGAAAAAGTAGTGTTTGGCTAAGGCAGCATTTGAGGGGAGGGATATCCGAGCTGAGGCACACACTTTCACTTAAAATCCAACACACGGTTCATTCTTACGTAGCTGAAAAGTTTTACTTATTCAAACTGAGGCTTTCCACCATGAGAGCAAGTCATGGCAAGCTTTGGACTCCCATCTTTCTCTTTCATGCAACAGCGAGAAGAGGAGACGAGAAGCCAGTTTTAAACCAATCACAGTTCCCTGTGACATCTGAAAATCAGGAACGGTGGTTTGCTTAAGTTATGGGTAATGAGGAAGCATTCAAGGCAGCTAACAACAATTAAATCAAGTGAGGATTTGCTGAATTAATAATTGGAAATTGGAATACAGAAAGGGGAGGTACGAGGAAGTTGGGGAAGTAAGTTATAAGAAAATAAGGGATTGAAACTATACTTGTTGTTGTTTTTGTTTGTTTGTTTTATTGTTCTGTTTTGTTTTTATATAATCTTTGAAACTTTAATAAAAATCTTTTAAAAAAACCAACAACAATTAAATCAAAACAATCATTTAAAAAGTGCAAGGAACAATTAGACAAGAAAACAATAATTACTTTGCAGTGTTTCTATTATAAGGTATGGGGTGATAAAGCACTCAGTTGTAGTTGCAGACCCAGTGTTGGGTCCACATTAATTTCAGAGGTGGGCCTTGAGCAAGATGTTCTCAGTGGACTCCCCCTCCCTGAGTGGGCCCACTTCTTGGCAATTGTCTCCACAGCCTATTTGCATGTCCTCTTCCTTTGGGCCCAATCCACCCCACTGCACAGAAGAAAAAGGCAGGACATGTGAAAGCTGTTCCTCCTCCTCCTTGCTCCTGTCTCAGGGAGGGCAGGTGAACCAGACAGCAACAGCAAAGAGGAGGAGCGAGACCAGGGGTCAGCAGTGGACCCTTTCTGGGGTGTGACAGGAGCCCTGGCTAACCCCAAGGATGATACCAGCTCTGTGGACCAAGAACTCTAGGGAGCCATGCATTTTTTGATCAAACAATGAAGCATCATCAAGGAGGGCGGGCAGTCTTGAGTCAGGGCATTTCAGAGCTTAGGCACTATGGCGAGAAGCTCATGCTCTTGAGACTCCCATTATAGAACTTCAGTGAGTGGTGGAACATGGAGGACGGTCTCCCACAAAGATCTGAACTGAGCTGGGAACAGAAGAAGAGAAGAATATCCCTGCTGGATTAGGCCAGTGGCCTATCCAGTCCAGCATACTGTTCACACAGTGGACAAACTGATGCTTTAAGTGGGCAGTTGCTTAGTGTGGGAGCATCTACATTGCATGCAGAAGGTCCCACGTTCAACCTCCAGCTGAGAATGCTCCTTGTCTAAACCCCTGCTGCCAGCCAGGGTAGACAAGACTGAGTTAGATGGGCCAATGGTCTGATTCAGTATAAGGCAGCTTCCTATTTTCCTAACACCCAGGCTGTCCGTCTTTACCATCCAGAACTCCAGGGTCCATTTTCTCCAAATGTGTGGTTCATAAAACTATCATGGCAGAGCAACTTTCCATAAAACCGAATAAGCCTAAAAATCTGAATTGGTGATCACCACCACCACATTTCTTTGTACCACATCCCACAAATATTACCGTGCAAAGACCATCTTCTTTTTTGCTCTGCCTGGAAAAGGACTGCCAATCAACTTCTAGGGCTGACCCCAAGTTCCAAAAATCTCCTTGCTCTCAGCCTCTGGGGCTTACAGAAGGTGAACATCTCCTGTAAATGTCTGCAAGCAAATGTCAAAGAACAAAATCAGCAGGGAAATGTTAAAACTTGCCTGTGGTTATGAAACCATCAATAAATTAACCAAAGACACATTCTCTTTAATAACATTTGGGACCTATAAAAAAGCTGC